TTTGCTGATTGAAGTGTTCACGCCAGAACAATCTCTGCCTCGCTACAGTCTCAGAATGATAGAAAAATCAAACTATGAACAAATACCCATGATAAAACCCCTAAAATCTAAAAATGCACATTTGATCAAAGAGATATTTGAGAAACCACAGAATGACTGGTCAGGATATTTTTTTTCTTTTTACCTTGAGTGTTAAAATCCCTGCAGAACCACTAAATGTCCATCGGGACCCGTTCACACAGAAAACGGCCCAGACGTCTGACACAAGCTATCAAACACAGCTGAGAGCAAACAGGAGCGTTTAGTGACTTTAACACAGGTGCAAACAATGATTAATCAGCCACGGTGTTAAACAGTCTCATTAATGGAACAGCACTCAGCTGAAAACACGACTAAAAGCAAAACTGATGTTGGAGAAATAAGTGAGATCTAACGAATGCTGTTTGTAAAAGTCTGAATAAAATATACTTAAATTCTAAAACTGTAGAGAACGATACCGGAAAATAATCAATCCTTGAAACAGTGTTGCCAACTTAGCGACTTTGTCGCCATTTCTAACGACTTTTCAGACCCCCTTAATGGCTTAATTTCAAAAAAGCGCCTAGCGACAAATCTGGCGACATTTCTGACCCCCCTCAGCTACTTTCAGAGGTGGAAAGAGTACTAAAATTTCCTACTTAATTACGAGTACCAATACTTTGATAATTTTTTACTCAATTACAAGTAAAAGTACTTGCCTAAATTTTTACTCAAGTAAAAGTAAAAAGTATCGTAAACAAAATGTACTCAAAGTAAAAGTTACTTAGTTACATTTTTGTCAGCATAAGGATGGCTGCATCTAAGTAGTGCTAAATCACAACACCAGTTCACAATTCGCTTGTGTGTGTGCACGCACACTCAAACACGCACAGCTTGAAGGAGGGATTTCTATCCAATCAGTGAGAACAGGACGTGCACATTGATTGAACGAGGTTTTTCTAGGATGGTAAGTTTCAATTGTGATTCAAATTATTCTTTATTTTGAGAAAAAAAAATTTTTTTAGATGCCATCAGCATGTGAGGTGTCTCAATGTTTTTAACATGAGACACCTCACATGCCAAACATAACACATAACAAGCCAAATGCAGTCAAACATTTCAGATGGACCGTATGACAGCTGCTAACGTTGGCCCTGCCCTACTTTACCTCTACATTACAGTTCCTTTATCCATGTCCATCCTAGAGCTCCTCTCTGACCTTCATGCTTATTTAGAGCAGCTGATTTTTAAAGCTAGCAGAGTTCATCCTTGGTGGTGGGTTCACTCACTCATTCAACCCTTCACCACTGAAATCAGTTTGTTCATTCCAATCCTCCTAAATAATCCTCCAATCATCCAACTGGAATCCTTAAGGGTCCCATAACGTCCATCCTGTCAGAACAGGCCTTGGCAGCCCAGGTGTTACTAGAACTAACGGTGTCTCCTCACCAGCGTGAGCCTCCAAACTGTGAAGGTTGGACTCCAAACATGAACTTTAAATTCATGCATTTGTCTCCTCTTGCAGCACTTTAACATGTTTTAAAAGGCTTCCCAGACCAAAGATAGGTACAATATAAGATAAAACGTTATCATAAACACTGTAGAGACGTCATTATTTATGAATTATGAGTTATTTTCCTGAGTCATTACTTCAGCCAAGATATAGGATGCATGGATTTGATGAAACCATGCTGTCTCATGCAGTCCTATATGTGTAACACACACACACACACACACACACACACACTGCAGCATGTTAGAATCATTTGAATGACTAGTTTAACTACACTGAACTACTTTAGTAATAATTTAATCTCTTATTCTGGAGTAAAATAAAGAAACAAGCAAAATCATCACATATCTTTGGCATCAAGGAGCATCTTCTGAGTTCAAACACAGGGATGGAGCACAATGTATACACCTGAACAGTATCAGGATGTTTTAACTCACAGAGGCCTGCAGGTCTTCTGTTTTATGAGCAAAGTGCTGAGAATCCGCTTGTTATGAGCGCTAAACGTTATTTTGCCGCTTCCGTGTGGAGCGGTAGGGAAACACAATTCAAACATGGAACCGAGTCTGGCTACTGAACCGAGTGGAATTGTGATGACGTCACACCGGTGCGCAGGGCTGGACTGGGACAAAAATTCAGCCCGGGCATTTTGACTGGAGACCGGCCCATCACCTGGTTTTTTTTGGAAAAGACATTAAGCCTTACGCTGTTTCTGACACACACACCAATATTGGTAATATTCATGTATCTATTAAACGTAAACCTACACCATCCTTCCTATCCTGGTATTCTAAAAAGTAGGACTGGGGGTAAACGATTATTTTTAAAACGATTATTCTGACGAATAGTCGACTATTCTAATGACTATTTAGATGATTAATCTAGCGATTATTTTTCTATTGCACAATTAATAAAAACCAAAAAATCTCAAATAAATTCCTCCAAAAAATTGATAAATTGTTACTGTAAGAGAATAAACACTACAGGCCTTCCATTTTGTGTAACACTGCTTTTATTGTGTTGTGGTTGGTTATGTTCTGGTGAAATGTAGAACTTGGGAGTGCAGGCTGCTGCCTGAGAGGTGGTTGGAGATGGAGTGTCTCCATGCTGCTTTGTTTTGGTCACTTATGTACGTGAGGCGAGTGGTGTTACGATCCTTCCTGGGGAGTTTGGCTCGTGTGCAAAAAGGAAGGGACAATAACGGGATTTAAAAGTTAAAATGATGATCAGGTTTATTAACAAAAAAAAAACCTAAGTCTTTCCATCCACAGGTTGGGAATTAGTAAAACTAATTCTGCCTGTGGGGAATTAAAACAAAAGTACAAATAACCTGGGATGTACCACTGGGCAAAGATTACAGGGTTCTGGACCAAAATAAGGATTTCCAAAGGTCCAAATTCAAAACTGGGTGGTTAAAACAAACTCAAGGTGATATTTTAAACTAAATCTGCACCACAAAAACGATGAACTCTAAACCAAAACATAACAGCTTATCCAAACGCAAGAAGCTGTTAGCGAAAATGCTAACAGTAGCTTTACCAACGTTAAGTTCAAGTTACCAAGTTTAAATAAACCAAAACTACCGGATCTGACGTCGACGAATTTTTAAAATCGAGCCGTCAACGTCATTGATGCGTCGCCACAGCTCTAGATCGTACTGGTGCAGTATAGAAAATGTGGGGAAAATGCTGACATCATATACAGTATTTACTTCTGTAACTACAACTTTGTAGCCAACTTTACCTGCAGATTAGCGATGCATCTGAAGCGACAGAATCGTCCTTCCTTCCAGAGGATCAGAAAGAAAATGATCTGCGCATGTGCGTGCAGCATGATCACGCTACCCCCACTGACCAATCAAACCTTTTGTGGGTTTTCACAAGTCCATTATTTGAGATAGCCACCGGAGATACATAAAGAGCGACCGCTTCATCCGCCATCCTGCCGCATTTCGGCAGCATAAAGCACAAGTCCAGATAGTCCAAAATTGATGTAAAAGCCGTTTCAAACGAGCTGTAGCCGTCTTCTTCCACTACGTCGCATCATCCCGTCCACCAGACAAAAAGAGGGCTTTAATTGGCCCACAATGCGGATAAAGCACTATGAACGACCCACCTTTGTGGACCAATTTGAAATCCCTATAGAGGGATTGCTGCTAGGGGCTGCGGAGGTTTCAATGGAGCGTTGTTACCTAGCGGTAACAACAAGCTAACACCAACAAGAGCCAACTAATACCAAAATAAACTACAAAGTAAAAAGATTCACGCTGTTGGACAAAAAATATTACTTACAAGTCCAGGAGCACCGAAGCCAGGTCGCCATCCGTCCTCCTTTAGCTCCCTCAAACTAGTGTACATCACGCCGATGTTTACTCCGAATTTAGAGATTTGCTTTGCCTCCAAAGACATTGCTCTCTTATGTCTACTTCCAGGCTCCGCCATGATGCCAGAAAACTTTTCTTCTTATGCTTGAACAGCGGCCTGAAAATGCTAACTGCTAGCATAACAGCTAACAGCCTTAAAGAGCAAGTCACCCCCTACCAGAGTATTACTCCACTCCCAATTTCAAAGTTTGTAAAAAATTATCTACTGTTACTTAAAAGTAGCCTCGCGGTAAGACGGTCCCCAGTTGGAAGATGGTGACGTCGTCAACAAGAAAAACTTTCAAGAGGCATCTTTGATAATCCAGATAAAACCGGAACTTGATATAAACAGAGTAAGGAAACGGTTATGAAAAAAGGCTCACGTTGGTCTAGAATATGGACAAAACAGCAGCTTGAGTCCAACTAGCACACAAAGAAGTCAGTGGGAATTCTGTTATGGAGACCTGGATTAAGAGCCTGTTGGTTTGGGGTTTGTTAACAGCTAGATGGATTTACACAAGCCGTATCGCTTCATCCTGTTTGCTCTGTTGCGTCACATCTCAGGTACAACCAGATCTTAATCCTACCTGCAGAGGAACAGGAAACCGTATTTCACTGCAAAGACAACATCTGTGCTGCCAAACTGGACTTCCTCTGGGCCTCTTCTCTCGTTTCACTCAGCATATTAAATTTGACAACTTCCGTGTGTTTTCTGTTGTTTTTATGCAGGAAGGAAACACCTGGTAGCGTGTGTGTGTTCCCATTAGGAAGATCTGTTTACGTTCATGTGAAGCCGTGCTCTCTAATACGGAAAACCAGCAGGTACAGAACATGCATTAACAAGAAGAGACCCTCTTTTTCCTTTGAAAACCACCGGACAGCTGCTCACCTTCAGAGACCATCAGCTGCAGCTATTGTCAAACATGAGCGTTAAGCTTCTTATAGGGCCATTTCCTGATATTTGCTCACTGTAACACAGCTAATCTCCAAATTGTACTCTTTGTGAGCAGGATTTCATCAAAGCAGCAAAAGTTTTTACATTTGGGGTGTGATGGGGATAAAATGAAGCCAAAAAATGAGGGAATAATGCTAAAAATAAGAGAGACAGGCAAGTTTGTCATCATCTATTATGATTTTTTTATATCCAAAACTAGATTTAAACACATAATACACAACATCATCATTAGTTTCATGATCATGTTTGGTTAAAAGTATAAAATCTATTAGGACACAAGCATTAGTTGTCAGCTGAACACATGCTGAGTGTTATAATCTCTGCAGAGTGTTACATAAATTTAACACTTATTTATCATGAGCCGGACGTCCTTACACTGAATTTAATATTGTGATGTCTTAGTGCCTGCTGTGAAGAACTTCATTACATATTCTTGAAGCGATTCCCCGCTGTTTCACTGTAATTGGTGAGAAAACGTTTGATAAAAAGTCTCAATAGCTTGTTTTCAATCCAGGTGAGGCTTAGTAAGCCAAAGGTCATTGTTTGAATCAGAAGTCGCGGTCCCAGCCAGAGAATTCCTCCTCCGCCTTTGAGTGGTCCTGAGGAAACTGATCAAAGTTGATGTAGCAAGGACCCTGAAGGAGGACAAGGATTTTATTCATTTGGAGTTACACATCAGACTTAATATCTCATTTTTCAGAAGTTAAGATTCAAGATGTGGAACACTGGTAAAATCAATACATGTGCAGTGGTCTCTAGTAGGAATAAATGCCTTATAAGTCGTGTTGGGTGGCAAAAACACTATTGCACCATTTCCAGGAACTAGAAGTGAGCCAAGTCACAGCTGAGATTCATACGGCAGGTTATGATGTCTTACTTCCTGATATTTGGTTATCTTGGCCCGGATTGGATAACAGCAACACGACTCCACTCTGACTTGTAATGTTGATGTTTATTTTCTCCACGGAAAAGTCAAGCTTGGAGGAGTTCTGTCATGTAGTGAAGTTGCTAAGGCTAACGGTTAGCTTCTACTAGCTGGGATGTGCCCTCCTGGACACTAAACCAACCCATCATGAGTCAAGATGGGTGAGTCCTTGACTGTTACGTGACAGTGTCTAAGACCTGTCAGGCTTTTCAAATCTTAGAGTTTCGTCGTCTATTTTCTATCAGAAGCAAATGCAGGAGACAGGCGTAGGAGACTATTTTCATGCAGCATGCATAAAAAACTCAGAGTGACCGATTATAATCAGAAATAATTAAATAAATAAATGTTAGTGTCACTGTTCCACGCCTGTAAGATAAAAACTCAAGCAGCCAGAGTGGTTTTTGCACTATTTTAACACTTATGGCACATTTCAGTTAAAAAATTCAAGGCCCACTGCTGCTTCGTGCCATTTGGCAGAGCTGTAGACGTCTTGGTAAAATCTTAAAACTGACATCACGCACAATCTCAAGCAATATCCCCAGATCTCATGAAATCTGTTAGCAATCAGATTATGTGTTTTGTATGACGTTAAAATGTTAGCTGGTGAAATTTTAGCTCAATATTTGTAAAGCTGAGTAAGTTGTTTCCATGTTTGGAATCAGGTCGATTAGTAACCGTGCCTTTGTCATTAACATAGTAACAAAGTTCATTCGTGTGCTTTTATGGCTTGCCTTGCGGACGAGCCGTACTGTCGGAGCATCCAGCTGACCCATGCGCAGCTTGTGCCAGTTCAAACTGCTGAACCACCTGAGACGGAAAGAAGGAAGAGGTTCTAGATCAGTTATCAAAGAATGATCATTTATTGAAAGGCATAAGCAACCGCAAAGATGTGAAAACTTGCATCGCACGTGTTTCACAAAAACACCGCAGGCAGTGGTTAGTGACTGATCAAAAGAATGAATCTTTGCAGCACTGATGACACGTTGCCATGGTTACCTGTGATGCCGGACATCTTTGATGCCATTCTTGGTGTTTCCTAACCTCTGACCCGGCCGGGGTCTGAGCAGAAAAAACAACGTTCAGAGAGAGGAAAATGCTTTCAAACACTTCATGTACTGCTAATTTAAATGCATCCGTTTGCAGACGTGACTTGTAATTCACGCTCTGAGACGACTGAATGAAATACAGAAACATTTGCTTGGTATTCCAAACATCCAGCTTCATTTGTAATGAAGTATTTGCAGCAAAGAGGCAGAACTGCAGCATCATTTCTATGCATTTTCTAAGTCTAATTCCTTTTACCTGCACAGCTTGCTGATGATGGACTTGGCTGCCTCACTCAAATAGGGTGGATACTTTAACACTCCATCCAGAATTTTAGCATAAATCTTCTGTGGTTCCGAGCTTGAGAACGGAGGGCTGGAATTGGGGAAGAAGAAACGATAAAATAAAATCAAAGCAAAAAGCTGAGATTTTACATTTAAACATTTGATGAACAATGTCCAGATATCAATATTATATCTCTGCTTCCACCTGCTGGTGAGCTTGTGCATAAAGTGAATGTTCATGAACTAAATTGTGTTCGGCAACAAGCTTCTGAGTTACCTTCCCACCAAAAGTTCAAAGATGAGGATTCCCAGGGACCAGAAATCAACTGCAAAGTCGTGTCCTTGATTCTTGATGATCTCTGGAGCCATGTACTCAGGAGTTCCCACAAACGAGTAGGTTTTCTGCCCTCGCACCAGCTCCTTTGCAAAACCAAAGTCAACCTAAACAACAGAAACATCAACACTTAAATCCTCTAGACTTTTAAAAAAGGGTCTTTTTGCAGTTAAAAGTTCCCACCAGTTTGATGTATCCTCTCATGTCCAGCATCAGGTTCTCAGGCTTCAGGTCTCGGTACAAGATGCTCTTCTTGTGGAGGTAAGCATAGGCCTCCACCACGCAGGCGGTGCAGAACATGGCAGTGGGCTCATCAAAACGCCCTCTAATAGTCATGGAGAATATTGTAAATTATTGAAAAGTTCTTTATTAAAAACTTAATATTCTTTCACATAAATACATCACTGCTTGAAGGCCACAATATGCAATGAAATGTGATGACAGCATCACAGATTTTGCAGAAACGCTTTAAAAAAAACTTTCATTTATTATTGTAAATTAGCAAAAAGTTCTTTATTTCCTCTTACATTTCTTTGAGTTTGGTCCAGATCTCCCCGCCTCCACAGAACTCCATCACCATGTAGATGTATCGTGTGTCTTTAAAAGCTGCATAAAGCCTGGAAGAAATTTTAATGAACTTTCAACAGGAATTTAATGTTTTAGAAGATGGCTGGGAGCTCAAGGAGACATACTTAACAATGAAGTCACACTGGGTGACTTTAAGGATCTTCTTCTCAAACAGCATGTGTTCTTCTTGCCTCTTTGCAACAATTTGCTTCTTGCTGACTCGCTTGATGGCGTAATATTTCCCATGATTTATTGTGGTCATCTAGAAATAACAACAAAAAAATGACTATCAAAATATGAAATCTATCATTCATGGGTTGGTTTGAACTTTTGAGTACAAATGGAAATGTTTTCCAGCACAGAGAAAACTTGGGAAAAACACCACGACTCACCAGCTGCACGCGACCAAATCCTCCGATTCCGAGGGTGACCGGATCCCCCTGATAGCGACCTTCCTGGTACAACACAGGAACCAGATCCTTAAACCTCAGGTAGGAGCTGGGACTGCGCAGCACAGACACATTTTACTGAATCATTCTGAAAAACTCATTTGTGGTACTTACACTGTAAGAAATTAAATGTTGAATTTACTTAACCAATCATGACAACTGCTTCTACAAAACTGAACTGCATAAATGTAAAGAGTTACAGCCTATTGTTAGATGTTGCTGAGTTAAAAGTAAATAGATATTATTCTTTACATTTAAACAACAAGGTTTAGGCCTGGAATATACTTGCTTTTTAAACTCGTGTTGGCGCAGGCAGCAGGCTGCGTCTTTGTTCACATACTTGCTGCTGCCCTGCACTGCACGTAGTACTGGAGTGTTCCACTAGGGGGCACAGTCGAGTACTCAGACTGGATAGAGAGTCGGGTTTGTGGAGGACAGCCAAAACAAACGTGGCATCAAAAGAAGAGATCAGTAACTGGTTAATTTTGAGATCTCAGCAGAAAAGAAAGACAGAAAAGGTAACAGATGGTATGAAAGACCTCTAAACCAGAGACAGAGTGACCATGGTGAGTGTGCTTTGCTCATTTTGTCAGCTCCGCCTACTGGTTACTCGTATATTGCAGCGTTCCAAAGTGTCGCATTCATTTCGGGGGACACAAAAAAAGCAAAACTTCAAATCAACGCAAGTTACGTGAGGCAGCCATTTTAAACACGCGTTAAACAACATTAAAGAGCAAGTCACCCCCTACCAGAGTATTACTCCGCTCCCACTTCCTGTTTGAAAAATGCAACAAATGCTGTAGCCTAGCAGACCAAGAGGGCGGAGCCGCTAACAAATACACACACACACAGGCTCACAATGACATTGTGACATCATATGGTACCAGCTAACTTTCTAGGGTACCTCTTAGCCAATAACAATGGCAGATTTAAATTCAAATATAGTGCAGAGTTTTTACTTGACAATGGCACAACACTGACAGTTTGAGGCAGAAAATTAAAATTTGAACAAAAATGCACTAAAGTGCTAAACTATTGAGGCCACGTGTCTGCAGCACGATTAGACACACATTTATATAGTTTATCAGAAAAAAGTTTATTTGGGGGTGACTTGCTCTTTAAAAAGCAAGTATATCCCAGCCCTTAATGAAATCTGTAGACATAATTTTTATTTTTTACAGTGTATTTACCAAAGGTTTTTTTTTTATCTGTCCACCGATCCTTAAAACACACCTGCAGCACGAAACATAAGAGTAATTTTTTTTTAAACACAGCTTCCCTAATTGGGCTGAATTCAAGACAAATCCAGATGAAAAACGCATCATAAAACCTTCTGAAACTTCATCCATAAACTAATTTTGATATGATCATCCTATTTAATCAGGACTAAAAATATTTAGCATTGATTTAGCTTCATCAGTTTATAATTGACAGCTGCTCACCTGGACTTCTCTGGAGCTTGTGCCTCCTGCATCTCTTTGGAGCTGTAAGTTAAAAACATGTCAGTAGAAAAATAACTGGGCCTGTTTTTGTGTTTCAGTATCACTCTGTTGGCAGAAAAGATTCAGTTTTGAAAATCTGCGGCATTTTTTAACACATACTCATCAAAAAGCTCCAGGTGCTCCACAGGAATCGTCTCTTCAAAAACTCTAAAAAAAAGAAAAACGTTAAAGGGATACTACACCGTTTTACAAATCAGCTGTGTTCATGATCTAAAACATGCAGGAAACGTGATAGAAGCAGACTCCACCAGTCCACAGGTGGTGGCTGGGCACTCTGAAGTTGCAAGTGCAGTATTCTGGCTAAAAAGGGCAGTAGGAGTCTGAGTGGCATTTCATTAACCCTGTAAAGGGTCGTTTTAGCACATAGTGGCTCAAGAAAATGATTTAAAAATATGAAAAAAAGTTGCATAGTATCCATTTAAGCTGTGCACCAGTCAGAAACATTCATTTTAAGTGTGAAAGACATTGTTTCTGATTTTAAAACTCACTCCTTATCGATGGAGAAACACGTGACAGGGCCGTCTGCCGTGCAGGTGGCAGTTCGCAAAATCTCACTGTAACATAAACAAAAATTTACTCTGATCATTGTTAGACTGTATTGTTGAAGAATATATCAGCTGCATATCTATGCATTTACTTTCAAAATGAGCATTTTCTCTATTTTGTTTTAGCATCGAATGCAAAGAAGAGCTGACCATCATTTTAGGGACTCACTTCAAGAACACATTTGTCAAAATAGTATTTTATGCAGAAAACTATATTAAATAATGACCATGATTCATATTTTTACTATATTATTCATTTGTCTGCTGGGAAGCTTCACAGAAACTACTCATCGGTCGTCTGTCCCACAGCAGAGGGGTGTGCTGATCTGTGGATGTTGCACAAGGATCGCCTAAAGGGATGATGTCATATTTCCATGGTTACCGTATCAGGGCTTGCTCCCCGAAGTGTTCCCCTTTTCCCATCCTGCGAATCATCTTTTGGTGTCCGTTCACATTTTTGGTCACCAGAACCTGACCCAGGAACACACGTTAGAGTAAGGAAACACACATTTTTGTTTCATATGTGGGTTTAGATACCAGTCTGGACGTCAGACTACCTCTCCTTTGAGGATGATGTAGAATGTGTTTCCTTCTGTTCCTTCACGAACGATAGCATCTTTGTCTTGAAACTTTACCTGGTTGATACGAAATAAATTATAAAGATCAAAACTCAGAAGGAGAGCAGTGTTGTGTTTGGGTTAACTGCTGTTCCATCTGCTTATCTTACAGGGAGTGAGTGACACTGAGGTACGCACCTCCTCCATGGAGTCGATGATTTTGGACAACTGTATATCGTTCAGGTCCTTCAGAGTACGAGACCTGGTAAAAAGTCAGAAACAATGACCGACATGATAAAATACCAAGTTTTAGAGAACGAAAAACAATCATTTCAGCTGAAGGATCCACAAACTCACGTCTTCAGGAATCCCATGAGCTGCTCCCGTTTCTTCTTGGACTTGTTGGTTATGATGGTTCTGTAGGTCTGTCGCTCCATGCACCACACATGCACAGATGTCTTTGCTGTCAGCCAGGAAAACATTTTAAATGTTGGGATCAAAAATAGTGCTGTCTTACTCTAATTATTACAACATGTTTGAAAGAGATAGCATTTATTAACAAAGTACACTCTAAAAACTAAATGTTGTACTTACTGAAACAAGTTATGTCAACTGGTTCCACTAAACTTCATTTCTATAATGTGAAGAGTAATATACATTTACTTTTAACATAACAATGTAAACTCTTTACATTTAAGAAATTAGATTTAGTGGAAGCAGTTGAAATAACTTCATTTTTGAGAATGTGGAATCAGGGATGTTTTGATTCATTAAACAACACCTTTGGCTTTCCATACCCCTCGCAGCCATGCCAGCTGCATTGTTCTTAATCTGTTTAACCCTCTGGAGGCAGGCACCTGGTTACTCCACACACGTATTTCAGGAGCGTTTTTTAACTCAGAAGCACCCCTGAAGGACTTAGTTTTTCGTCCTTTTATCAAAACTTATTTTGAGCCTGAGAGGGTTAAAGATATACGTGTTTTCAAAGGATGAGTTATAATTAGTCATTTAGGATTAGGGTTTGGGCCGGGGTTGGGATAGGGTTAGAGCAGTGGTTCCCAAACTTATTTAGCCGCGCACCCCCTTCTATGTCCCGACCATGTCGACGCACCCCCCAGCCCCCATATATATCAGACGTCAAGCTAAACAGACAGGGTTAAAAAAAATATGATCGACCTTTTCCCCCATCACTTTCATTTTTTTAATAGTAATTAATAAACATTCAATACCATTACAATTTCCTTCGATTTAATTTTAAATAAATATTTAGAGTGCCCAGGTGGCACATAAACAATGCAATTTAACGGTTTTCTTAAAGTAGGAACGTTTAACCCGTGGTCAGAGCGCTCTCCTTCCTTCTGCTCTGCGTAAACCTGAGCTGGTCACCTACTTGTGCGTAATCAAATGTCTATAGGGGAAAAGATGGAAAAGATATAGCCATGAGGTTCACTTTTGCCTCAGACCGACTTATTGCTGTTTCATGGTGTGGCTCAATCTGCGATCCGCTGCCACGCGGACTGGAATAACAAATGCTGCAGTAACATGTAGTCAGGTTCGGAGTCACTGGCTGGAGCGGACCCGACTTTAATACGTCATCCCAAAATAGAAGCTAATATCTTAATTTGACCTGGAATGATAAATGTTATAAAACCTCTTAAAAGTTTTTATCACAGAGGAGGCAGCGCTCATTTCTGTCCTGTGTGTGTGTGTGTGTGTGTGTGTGTGTGTGTGTGTGTGTGTGTGTGTGTGTGTGTGTGTGTGTGTGTGTGTGTGTGTGTGTGTGTGTGTGTGTGTGTGTGTGTGTGTGTGTGTGTGTGTGTGTGTGTGTGTGTGTGTGTGTGTGTGTGTGTGTGTGTGTGTGTGTGTGTGTGTGTGTGTGTGTGTGTGTGTGTGTGTGTGTGTGTGTGTGTGTGTGTGTGTGTGTGTGTGTGTGTGTGTGTGTGTGTGTGTGTGTGTGTGTGTGTGTGTGTCTGTGTGTGTGTGTGTCTGTGTGTGTACGCACGCGCGGCACAGCTCCATGAGCCGCTCCAGTCACCGCGTCTCGTTATTGGCGCTATTTAAACCAATGTTGTAAAATTACTTCTGCCCAGCCCAGATGTGCTCACATGTGCACCCGTGAGCCGTGGTTCCGCTGGAACACGTCTGACCTCTGACAGACGCACTCTGAACTTCAGATCTTCAGCGCGCTGTTAATAGCCTGAATGGGAATCATTTCTTGATTTATTTAGTTACATCCACAATGTTCTGTGTGTGAGGTTTACAATGTCAGAACACCTGCATGAGACAGGGTGTTAATTACAATCTGCCAGAATGACTCACCTTCAGATTTCTCCAACACCGTTAAAGATGATCAAATACGGACCATATCGGCGTGCGCAGGCCAGAGCGCTGAAGCTCGGCGCATTGTAATTATGAAGCTAGGGCACATGTGGAGGACACACACACACACTCACGCGCAAAAATATACTTGTTTTCAATTACATTTATTGTGTCCACTTACATTATCTTAGGCCCACCCACAAATGAGTTTCTGGCTACGCTAATGGTGACATATGACAGACTTCTCTGAGCTCCGCAGCCATTACACTTTTTACCTCGCGCACCCCCTAGCGGCAGCTCGCACCACACTTTGGGAATCCCTGGGTTAGAGGTATCGGTTAGTTTTTAGAGGGCTCACCTCTCATTCAGACCTTGCTGGTAAAGCATGGGTTTAGGGTTAAACTGAATCTAGTTTATATGTATGCTGAGAGTTTTCACCATGATGCAGCCATTTAGTCAAATTGTTGTTCCAGTATTTCTGGTATGGTATAATCAACCACTGTGAAGCTCCTCTGCTGTTAAACTGGTTCATAGTTCTGAGGCTATAGTGACAAGAACAAGTCAAATAATTAATGCATGTCTCCAGTTTTGCTAACAGCCAGCTTTTAAAGCCATCAAATCAAGTTGTCATGGCAACAGTGCCGCACAGAGGTGCTCACTGCCATTATTTTTACTATAAGTTGTATAAATATTCTATTGTGTCCTTTTTTCTAGAAGGATCATTATGACATCTCAAAAGGGACGCGTGCGCTCTGAAACACACAAATACAGACGGGTCCATTTGTATTTCACATAATCCCATTAGAGATTATCCGAGTTTTACCTTTGACTGTTGCTGTTCGTTTGCAGTTGTACAGGATGGCTAACTCTCCAAAAACATCCCCCTTGCCAAGAGTTCGCAGGTCTCTTCCTGCCTGGGTGACAATGAGGTCACCGTCTATAAAAGGAAAAGCAATTCTCATTTACTGAAGCCTTTTTATTCAAATTTATTATATTAATATCGGCATCAGAAACAGATTGAGACAAGCTCAGGTGTGTTCTCACCTGCCACTATGTACATGCTGTCTCCTTCAGACCCCTCCCTGATGACTTCCTCTCCAGGTTTGAACTTAGATGCCCTCAAAAGGTCCACCATCATGGCTATCTGCTCATCATCGAGGCGGCTCAAGAAGTCATTCTTCTGGATAGCTTTGACGATCAGACTCGTCTCACTGGTGATGGAGAAAGTTTGTCTTCAAATCAGATCTTCGGGATATTAAATGAGCCAATAAAAAACTACTCGGGTAAAAACGTCCCATTATTCTCCTCAGAAGTATTCGTAGCTAACCTGACCGACTTTTTGACCCTGGTGTGTGAAATCTCCAAACCCTCGGGAATCGGTTCTGGAGCAATCACAGCAGCACGGCTCTTCCTAAACTCTGGTTCGGTCTCATTGCTGTTCGGGCAGGAAAACTCTGCAGAGGTTCAAACAGACAAACAAGGATCATCAGCTGGGATCACTTTAAATGTGTGCAGGTGTGTGTGTGTGACCTCATACCAAGATCGTGGTACTGAGTATGTAGTTCCTGCAGGAGTTTCTCTTTCTCTCTCAGCCGTTGTTCTAAAGATGAAAAGAATATTCAGTGGACAAAATAACCATCCTTTAATTGAGCATAACATTGTGGATACTATGTTTGTTTCACCTCCTCACTCCCAGGAACATTGTTTAAAGCACGCTGTTATACATTTAACATCAAACAGTACACTTTAAAAAATTAAACAGAATTTAGTTAACCAACTTGTGTCAACTAAATGTAGCTAAAGAGCAAGTTCACTGGAAAACAGTTTTTTATTTGTTATTTTTTTAAATATGATCGGTCACGCCGAGTTTCACATGCAGACTGAACATGAAAATAGTCTTCCACCCATTTCCTGCATTAGCTGCTGATAGAAAACGGACGGGGAAATGCACAGATTGGAAAAGCCACTCAGGTCTATGCCACACTGAAAATTAGCATTCATGGACTGACCCGCCTTGGCCCGCGACAGGGAAGGCTGTTGTTGATTTAGCGTTCGGGAGACAGTAACGTCTCGGCTATTAGAAGCTAACCGTTAGCATTAGCAACTTCAAAACACGACAGAAATCCTTCAGGTTTGCGCTACTTGTAGAGATAAAACATAAACATTGCAGTGTGGACGGAATCAGCGTAATACTGCCGCCATGGTGTGTCTTATGAACACGCTGTGGTAATGTGGCGATGCGGGGGATTTTGTGCAATTCGTACCGCCACGCTTCGTAGTAATATTGCCACAACGCCAGACTTGTGAATGCATATTATGCCTTGGTGGATCAGAGGGTGGTGTCCTGTTCACGTGCAGAATTACTGCCGAGCTCTGGCAGGAAACCATTGAAAATGAAAGTAAAAACAGCAATAAGTTTCCCTTTTGTTAACAGAACCAGCTGAGATGACAGACTGAAGCGATGAGGAGCTCCGGGAGCTTCTCTCCATTAGAGCTGGAGCTCAGATCATCAGACCGTTCACAGCAACTGTGGACGACAGACACCTTTAGGAGCAAGGACTGAGCGCGGCTTTGATCGCAATAAAAAGCAAGTTATGTCCAAGATAAACAGAAGTCTGCGGCTTCTTTATACCACCGTCACGTAATGTTTTATGAAAAAGGACACGAATGAGCCACATTGCCACCATGGTCTGACCACTGATAAACAGCCAAAGGCTCCCTGATGTCGCCTCAGCGTTGCAGCTGATTGGTGGCATTGTTTTCTAAAAGAGGCTGGTGGTAGAGTTATGTTGCTGTTAGCCAATCAGAAGCAAGATGTCCAAATAACATGAATACTAATGAGTTACACTACTTTTTTCTATCCCCAACTCCTCTGGCTAACATACATCCTCAAATAAAAGCGCCAGAGCTTTTTTTTTTTCTTAGAGAACAGAACAAGGCATTTATTCAGACTAGAGAGACCACAGCAGATTTATTGAAAGAAAGAGTGAATGAGAGCTTTAAACGTAAAGAGTGAAATACCTTTGCATTTAACATAACGTACACCAATTACTCTATACATTTAGGCATCTAGGTTTAGAGAATAGGTAGGCAACCCTGGTCCTAGAGAGCCACAGTCCTGCATGTTTTCCAGCCATGCACGAACTTGCTGCTTCTAATTGGCTGAACACACCTGATCCAGGTAATCAACAGTAGGACAACAAGCAGGACGGCGGCTCTCTGGGAATAGGGTTGCCTACCCCTGGTTTAGAGGAACTAGTTGACGCAACATGGTTGAGTAAATTCAGCAGTTTGATTTTAGAGTGTAGTTTCAGCATTGTGTTGATTATGGTGCATGCTCTTCGATGCAATGGATTTTAAAAGTTCAGAAGTCAAACTTCCTCTTTCTACTCATCTGAGGCTTGGATGCAGTTTTGAGGTAGGATCAAATTTGTTAAACTCACCCAGGTCTTTATTTTGCCTCTGCAGCTCCTGGTTGATGACACATTGCTTTTCCAGTTGCTGCTTTAGATCCTGTAGCTGCTTCTCCATCACTACGGGAGGGGGGTTATGTAAAACAAGAGAGTGTTTTTGGGCTTTGAACCTCATTGCAGATACATAACATTGTGCTAAACATCTTGGTTTTATATGGTTTTAATCTTGTTTTCACTAATGCCCTGATTTACTTCCACTGCATGTGAAACTGCTGAATAATGCAGACTAATGATGGACAGCCAACGGGGTGTGCTGAATGTTAGCACATCCTGCTGCTGTTGCAAAAGATATTTTCAGCTGTTAACCCCTTCCATCTTTCTGTTTGCATAAACTCCTGATGTTTATTTTCCGCAATGATATGAAACATGATGAATCCTTGTAATAAATCTGTTTGCACAAGCTCCACAAACCATCACCGTTTTCATTCTGCCGAGACTAGATAGTGTCACCGTTGACGGCAGCTAGAGTTACCTTGAAGTGGTTTTCTGACTAATATACTAAGTCAACCCCTCATTGAATGAGCTGTCTGCTCAAGATCACCGCACCCTCCACGTGACCCCGAATTATTACCGCCTCACCCTGAACATTGGACAGCTCCGAGATTAGACAGGATGTTAAAGACAAATCATAAAGTTACGAAGCAATCAAGCCACAGGGAGATACAAAGTCTGCTTCTTTGATGAACAGAATATGGCACACAAATAGAAGTCTGCATCCACACATTTTCATAATGTAAGACCTAAATCTAGTGTGATTTAAAAAAACTGGGAAATCCTGCAGACGTGTGTGAAATAAAATACAGAGGTTTTCCTAGAGGTGTTTTATTATCTGGAACCGTCCACAAAGCACAATTTGTGAGCTTTCTAGGAACTCCATACTATAAAAACACACTGAGGACAGATTGGGTGATGACCTTTAGTCAACATTTAATTAAAGGAACCCACAACACACATTAGCCTGAGGCACCTGCAGGTAAGACCCGTGAACACACTGCTGTTTATTCATCCTGCAACGGAGACGGTTTGAACTTCTCAGGTAAACCAATAATTTGACCCGTTACGTTAGGAATGATGCCGATATGAGAGGTGAGCTGTGCAGGAATTTTAATATTGATGGTTAGCATTACTCTCGTCCAGCCTGCACACTTCACGCTTCCTGCTGTTTTATTAATAATTCATGGGAATGTGTAACTACAGCTGAATTCTCATAAGGCATACTGTAATAAAACATCTGTTTAAGATGCCCTCTCTAACGAAGCTTTATTGCTTTATGACCACCACGTGTAAATCATTTTCTTTCTGCACAACAATGTTTTTAGCTTTAATCATGTAAAGAAAAAGATTTGGGTGATATTATGAAACGTGTAATTTCAGCACATACACATACATTTTTTATGCAATTCCAGACCAAGTGTGGACAGCTAAACTTACCTGCCGTCAGGTGTGCGGTCAGAGGAAGAGATGTTCAGCCTAAATGGGCCGCATGGATAAAAGGAGCCAAATTATGTACCTGAACTACTCAGAATCTCCACCAGAGCTTCTTGCTTCTGTTTGGCTCTAAAGGAGGAACACACCATGCAGCCTGCAGCCCCTCTGGCATCACTACCAATACTGTTTTTGTCTTTCTACCTCTGTACGCTTTTCCAGCTTACATTCCAGCATCTGTCTTTTTATAATTCTGTCCAACTCTCCCTCAGCCTTTTCCTCGTCCCTTCTCTTTCCATATCCATCTCAGCTGCAACAGGACTCAATCATTAACCACAACCTGAGGCTCCGCCCATCACACCAGGTGGGAGCGGAGGATGGAGGAGGTACAGTTTCAGAGGAAATAGGAAATTTCCTGTGGAAAATCATGCTGACAGATAACAAAATAGTTTATTTGAGACAATTTGCTCATAACTCAAAGTAAAATGTTAATTTGCAGCCATACATTTTTGCAGTCTGAGGAGTCTGAAAATGTTGTAATGATCTGTTATTTGGTGTTGAGTTTTGCAGAAACTTAGTCAAGGACAGTGGCGCCCCAAGGGGTGGCCATGACCACTCTTGAAAATTTGTTGTCCACCCCACTGGCCACCCTAACACCATCCCCCATCCCCCTTAATAAATCCCATTCATATTCACATACCTCATATATTATTCATTTAAAACTATACATTCATCTTTTTTTATTAAGACATAAATGTCAAAGCCAATAAATACATTTATTATAAGATTTTAATTAGGGGTGGGACTCAATTAAAAAATAATCTAATTAGAGACTTTGTGATTAATTAATCTTGATTAATCACATTTTAATCGGTAAAGACAATTTGCGCCCAAGCAAGTTCTTTAATAAAAAATAATAGTGAGGCACAGATAACAAGCTCACGCTTTGATGATTATATTTCTGTAACCACAAGGTCTATTTGATTGCTTTGGTCTCATTGTAAAGGTAACCATTGTGGGATTTGTTGGGATGTTTAAATATTAACATATGTGTAATTGATTAAGTGTAAATAGACATGGAACATTGTAAATGTTGTGTAAAGAACTGCACACTAGGTGGCAGCAGAGCACTGCTAATATAAATAGAGGTGTAGTGTAGAGTTCAGGGGAAGTTCTGCTGAGAGTTACAAGATGAATGCTGTGTGTATGCTCGTCCCTCCTGCTGTAATGAAGTCCATATGGATAAAGGTACTGCCTGCGTTCTACCAGCGAGAAAACATAACAGTAAAAAAAAACTGATTTTTTTTCTTTCTTTTCTTCATGAAGAGCATTTTGTCGTGATTCGTTTCATTTTAGATTTAGTTGTGTTTGGAGCATATAAAAAAGGTTTATATGGTGTTGTAGCCCACGTTCTGTAGCTTAGAGGTGCAGCTTGATATTGATATATAGGGCATAAATTGTGGTGCCCCCCAGAGCACTTGGACTCCATTTCTTCTAATTATTTAATCGTAATCAACACGTCAAATTCCCATCGCTAGAATTATTTTTTATTTTTTACATGGAAGTTTTAATATGTTATAGGTCTTTTCTACTTCCACCTGGAATTTTTTGTTAACTGAAGTTGGACAATTACATCTTGAACTCTTCCTCCCACTTCTTCATGCTACAGGAGCTGTGGACCATTTTAAGACCGAGTGTAATCAAAGCAGCTTTCAGATTACATCTACGTTGACAGAAATTGGTGATTTGTTTCCATTTTTCCACTGAGTAAAGCCACTGGCATTTTCCTGGGCCACAAATTTATCTAAAAGGTTGAAGTGGCTAACTCTGACAGAAGGCGTGTGCCTTTATTGTTCGTGGTTAATTATTGATCTATTTTGAGCTGACCAGCTAGTTTAATGATTCAACCTCCTCTTAGACAAGACTTTAAGGGTTGAAACTGTCAAAATCTGAACCAAAAAAGCTAAAAATTACCAGTTACTGGCAAAAATATCAAATGTTCCTTTAATTAATTTTAATAAACGCAAAAACATAAAATCTAATCACTAGCAGACTATTTTATTTTGGTGTCCTTTTATTTTGAGGTTGCAGCTGAAAAGTCAGAATACATTGAATAATGCCCAAAAGGTGCAGCTTTGACACAGTTTACAATAAAAGGTGCATTTGTGATTGTGTTCAAACAGAAAAAAGCCAAAAGTTGAAAACTACAGCGTGACATCAAATACTGTAAACATGTCTTAAAATACGTCAAAGTTACTAAATACAATCATCCAATAACACCAATAAATTAGCACCATTAGCTGCTGTGATGTCATCATGATTATGGGTCAAAGTTGGAATTCCTTCACATGAAGAGTCGCATAAAACAATCACGAGTTAATACTCACCAGGGTTTTAGGACAATAAAGTAGGGTGCATTTATAAGAAGTGCACTCAGTAACACAATCAAACCTGTCTGCACTGTTGGTACGATTCAAGTTAGATTTCTGCAAAGATATTTAACAAAACAAATTGATTTGACATTTCAGTTCAAAATAATTATTCCTTCATCTAGATTTTCTAATTAATGTGTGCAAGTTTTAAAAAGGCAGATTTCAGTGCAAAATTTCCTGTAGGGCAGGACAGAACTTTGTAAATTAACATTATGTTAACCTTTTCTGATTTTACCATCCATCCATCATTTTCATCCGCTTATCCAGAGTCGGGTCGCGGGGGCAGCAGCCTAAGGCGAGACGCCCAGACTTCCCTCTCCCCAGCCACTTGGGCCAGCTCTTCCAGGGGAATCCCAAGGCGTTCCCTGGCCAAGTGAGAGACATAGTCCCTCCAACGTGTCCTGGGTCTACCTTTAGGTCTCCTCCCGGTTGGACGTGCCCGGTGTCGGTACAGGATCTGCTCGGGGTCCTTCAACTGCCGATGATGTCACATTACTGCAAATTTACTTGGCTTTCACACATACGTTTTGGAAAGACATCAGCAGTTTTGTTAATAAATTCTTGTTTGTTAACACCTAAATGTTTTCTTTATAATTGTAATTTGTTAATAAAACACCATATTATCTTTGTTTTGTAAAGAATGTGAAACTACATAAAACCAACATCGGACTGACAAAAAACAGAACAGTTCTTATATGTGAAGCCACTTCTGTTTGCATTAATGTGTAGTTCATCTGTATATTTCCTTAGTTGTTATCTAAATACATTCTTTGACTCTAAATATTGCTTGGTGTCTTTCAATAAAGTTCTTATATTTTATTTTACCCCATTTCATCAACATCAAGAGCTTTTGAGGGTCACCGTTTATCACTTGCTTATATTTTACATTTCCTTTAGAAATTCAAACATATTTTCTCCAAAAAGTGTTGATTTTTGGACAACAGGACTACAACCGCTAAGACTATGACCGCAAATTTGTTCTGACCAATCAAAATCATAACGTGATAGCGTAACTTCCGTAAGCTTCATGTTCAGCCAATCAACTACTTTGATGTCATCGGCAGTTGAAGGACCCCAAGCCGATCCTACACAGACACCGGAAAACCTCACCAGGAGGCATCCTGTCCAGATGCCCGAGCCACCTCAAGTGGCTCCTCTCGATGTGGAGGAGCAGCGGGTCTACTCTGAGCCCCTCCCGAATGGCCGAGCTTCTCACCCTATTTCTAAGGGAGAGCCCAGCCACTCTTCTGAGAAAACTCATTTCGGCCGCTTGTATCCGCGATCTCGTTCTTTGGGTCACTACCATGACCATAGGTGAGGGAAACGTAGATCGACCAGTAAATCGAGAGCTTCACCTTCTAACTCAGCTCTCTCTTCACCACGACAGACCGGTACAATGCCCGCATCACTGCAGATGCAGCACCAATCCGCCTATCGATCTCACGCTCCAGCTTTCCCTCACTCGTGAACAAGACCACGAGATACTTAAACTCCTCCACTTGGGGCAGGACCTCATCCCTGACCCGGAGAAGGCATTCTACCCTTTTCCGACTGAAGACCATGGTCTCAGATTTAGAGGAGCTGATTCTCATCCCAGCTGCTTCACACTCGGCTGTGAACCGCTCCAGCGAAAGCTGAAGATCACGTTCTGATGAAGCCAACAGGACCACATCATCTGCAAAAAGCAGAGACCTGATCCTCAGGCCACCAAAACGGATGCCCTCCACACCTTGGCTGCACCTAGAAAGCCTGTCCATAAAGGTGATGAACAGAATCGGTGACAAAGGGCAGCCTTGGCGGAGTCCAACTCTCACTGGGAACGAGCCCGACTTACTGCCGGCAATGCGGACCAAGCTCTGACACCGGTCATACAGGGACCTAACAGCCCGTATCAGAGGGCCTGGTACCCCATACTCCCAGAGTACCCCCCCACAGGGCCCCCCGAGGGACGCGGTCAAACACCTTCTCCAAATCCACAAAACACATGTAGACTGGTTGGGCAAATTCCCACGCACCCTCTGATTTTACCCGATTATAAAATAGAAATTCCTTCAACATCTGAGTTTATACTTTTCACAAGGTATAATCATCCTGTGCAGCTGGGACAGATCTTCACAGAGAAAACCCAATAAGTTATAAATATATTATCTTTTTGTGGGTGGGACTTAAGCTAAAGCTTTTCACATTGCTACAGGACTTTATACTGGAAGATTTAACCTCCATGGCTTCAGTTCAACGTCTTTCCAACCTGCAAGCTGAGGAGGAGAAAATTTGTACAATACAATCAGTTTGGTTTTCTTCTAAAAAGGCAACATACATTTATGCGGACGGGTGACAGCATGCAGGGGTAAGTAATACAGCTCTCGTTTATCCCTCGTGGGCGCTACATGCTTCCTTGATGTCCGACGGGTGTTCGAAAACCGCTCGAACAAACTGGCCAAACAGACGCTCCATGTAGCTCTCACCCCGTGGAAACAAACCCTCCAAGAAGGCGATGTGTCCGCCGTGGGCCGTCAGCAGCAGGGCGACATTCGGCAGGGTCTGCACTATGGAGACTGGGAACGCTGTTGGGAAAAAAAATCTGATTTAAACCAACACTGAAAAGTTTTTAACATTTTAAACTATTGCTTTCAAACAGGTTTCAGTGATTCTTGAACAATAAACTTGAGCAACTTGACATTGGACAGCACTGTGCTGCCCTCTGCTGACAGGAAACGGCACTTTAAACACCCTTATATTTGGGTTGGCACCAGTGGAAAGGTCTACCTGCTTAATGGCAACAAGTGCTTGGTGTGCTAGAAGCCAATATAAAGGCTAGCAGTTAGCTTTTTCAGTTTGCTGATCGTCAATAAAAACCACAAGAAGCTTGGAAGTAAAAGAGTAATGTCTTTGGAGGTGAAGCAAAGACCTAAAACTAGAGTGAACATCTACGCAGCCTACAGTAGTTTTAGGGAACTAAAGGAGGCTGCAAAATCACGGACTAATTGTGACCTGGCTTTGTTGCTACTGGACTTGTAAGTAATAACAACAGCATGGATCTTTTTACTTCGTGGCTTATTTAGGATAAGTTGGCTTGTGGTAACGTTAGCTCATTGTTAGAGCAACCTACGGCAGGCTGCTGCAAGGTTTACGACAGTTGCAATTCCACTTTCATCCAGTAGGGTGGAGTAGCAGGACATTAGTAAGTGTTGCTTTAAGGTGAAAAACTGCAAAGCCGAGAACAGCCGAAAATCTTCAAATGGATCTTCGCAATGTCTCTAAAGTGCTCTGTGTTATTGTTGGTTTGTATACAAAGTGCAGAAAAAATAAAAATGGTTGCTTTAAAGGCTTTGCTCACCGTTCTGGGGGGAGAAAGGGTCGTCGGCAGCGTTCAGACACAGGATCGGAACAACTGTGTTTGGGAGCTTTTTGCCAGGACTGGCGTCATCGTAGTAATCTATACAAGTCTTATATCCGAAAAGCAGAGACGTGAAGCGCTCGTCAAACTCACGGATAGTCTGTGCCTAACAGGAAAGTTGATACAAACGTTAATCGGGGAAGGAATTATCTTATACTTGTAGGGAAATCATAAATTCTTGTCATTGTGCCGTACCTTCAGAACATAATCAATATCCACCACTTTCTCCAGAATCTTCCGGTGCCTGAGAGAAAGATTCCAGTTAAAAATGCTTCACGTGTTAAAACTCTACGGAACAACAAAGCGACCAACCTGGTGACGGTACGACAGAGTCCACTTGTGAGGTGTTTGTTGAAGAGGAGCCAGTTGAGAGGCTCCTCCATTGAGTTGGATGACTTCAGAGCATCCCAGGCGACAGAGATGGTGATTCCTGCCACCATTCCCGACTCAGTGCGCTTCCGAGCCAGGTAGTTTAGCAGTATCATTCTGCAGAGAGAGGGAAATGGGATAATGATGATGATGATGATAAATGCGAGAAATCCTGGAGACGTACTGGCAAACTCACCCTCCAAGAGACACGCCAGCACCGAGCACAGGAGCCTGAGGGTAGAGTCCTTTAACATGCTGCACCACTCGTTCCAGATCTGAGGTGTTGGCAGCGCAGTAGGTGACCGGAGTCTTCCAAAGGACAGAATAACCGAATAAAACATACACTCAAATTTTATTTTTCAAAGTTTTTTTATTGCTTTTTGATGAAAAATTTACTCATGTTGAATTTATTAGCAGCAGCAAAGCTCTAACGCCTGAGTTAAGCATATAAAATTATGGTACATACCAACAGCTCCTCCCCTCCAACCCCTCTGTTGTTGAAGACCACACATCTGGAAAATCAAGAGCGCATAAAAACACTCTCAAACCAGGCAAATAAAATCAAACGTTCTTCTTAATGATTGAAGAAATTTAGATTTCTGAACAGAAACTTTGATCAGTTTCAGGTGAAAGACGAGGACCTCACCTGTATCCGTGTCGCGTTGCCTGTCTGACGGCGTGAAGCACGTAGGACTGCTGGCTGTTTCCCGTCAGTCCAGGGAGGATGAGTACGGTGGGACGCGTGGAGGACGTTGGGTAGGGCCTACTGTTCTGATTGTCCACCCAGTCCAGAGAGATCTGACCTCCGTCCACCGTACGGATCAGCTCACTGACCAAAGAGAGGAGACGTTAGAAAACCCTTGTGATTACCACGCGTCAATACCACCAGCACATGAGGGCTGCTTCTTACTTGCGGTAGGTGACGTGGGGTCTGGTTTTAAGGAGAGCACAGACGAGGGTCTGAAGCCGACCCCCCCAGCACCAGGGGGTGGGACTGAAGCGCTCAGACACCGCGGGACAATGTCTGTGGAGGAAAATGCCGAAAGCGTCGCTACAGATCAGGGCTGGGGTCTGGGGAGAGGGAACAGGTAAAAGAAAGAGATATTAGACAGATTGTGGCTTTTTTAGATAGATTTTTTGAAAACATTTGATAAATTAATTATTTATGCTGCACATACATATAACAGTCATTTAATCTTTGGTTGCAAGTTCTCCCCGTTATTCAGTTTTTTTCCATAATTATATTCTGAAAAAATTAAAATAAGAAAACATTTGTGGGGAAAAACAAGCTTGTAATAAAAGATGATTGAGTTTTTTTTTTTTTTTACTAACTTTTGTCTTTTATCCTAATCTATGAGTTATCAATGTGCCTGCTTCTGAGTCCTTAAAGGTTGTATATGGAACACTGACACTGGCAAACACTCTGGCGACCTCTGGTGTTCAGAGGCGGTATTGCAACAAGACTAATTTTCCAGCAGTAGGGATGTTGGTTCACTGCTGACACATCCCAGCACCAAGTTCAGAGACAAAGTCGTACAGGATATGGACTAATTTCTACTAATGAGTTTATTTTAAAACAGTATTTACCGTTAGAACATCTTCGGGGCTCAGAATCAGCTTCTTGACTTGTCAAGTCTGATTGTTTTAAGTCTGCTTTGATTGCTTGTACATATTGTATAAGAGAACAGTCCTTTGTCTTTATGTGTATCTGTTTAATCTTATTTTTATCTTGTCTGTTTTTATCTTATCTCTCAGTTTTTCTTTGGTGTAAAGCTACTTATGTATCTGTTGCTGTTGCCTCTTGGCCTGATCGTCCTAACTGAGAATGAGTTCTCAATACGACTCGATTGGTTAAAGGTTAAATAAATATACAGGTGCTGGCCAGTAAATTAGAATATCATCAAAAGGTTGAAAATATTTCAGTAATTCCATTCAAAACGTGAAACTTGTACATTATATTCATGCAATGCACACAGACCAATGTATTTCCGATGTTTATTACGTTTAATTTTGATATTTATAGGTGACAACCAATGAAAACATCAAATCTGGTATCTCAGAAAATTAGAATATTCTAAAGGCCAATGAAAAAATGTTTGTTTCTCTAATGTTGGCCAACTGAAAAGAATGAACATGAAAAGAATGTGCATGTATAGCACTCAATACTTAGTCGGGGCTCCTTTTGCCTCAATAACTGCAGTAATGCGGCGTGGCATGGACTCGATCAGTCTGTGGCACTGCTCAGGTGTTATGAGAGCCCAGGTTGCTCTGATAGTCGTCTTCAGCTCCTCTGCATTGTTGGGTCTAGCGTATTGCATCCTCCGCTTCACAATACCCCATAGATTTTCTATGGGGTTAAGGTCAGGCGAGTTTGCTGGCCAATCAAGGACAGGGATACCATGGTCCTTGAACCAGGTGCTGGTGGTTTTGGCACTGTGTGCAGGTGCCAAGTCCTGTTGAAAGGTGAAGTCTGCATCCCCATAAAGTTGGTCAGCAGCAGGAAGCATGAAGTGCTCTAAAACTTCCTGGTAGACGGCTGCATTGACCCTGGACCTCAGGAAACAGAGTGGGCCAACACCGGCAGATGACATGGCACCCCACACCATCACTGACGGTGGAAACTTTACACTGGACCTCATGCAACGTGGATTCTGTGCTTCTCCGCTCTTCCTCCAGACTCTGGGTCCTTGATTTCCAAAGGAAATGCAGAACTTGCTTTCATCAGAAAACATAACTTTGGACCACTCAGCATCAGTCCAGTCCTTTTTGTCCTTGGCCCAGGCGAGACGCTTCTTGCGCTGTTTCTTGTTCAAGAGTGGCTTGACACACGGAATGCGACACCTGAATCCTATGTCTTTCATGAGTCTCCTCGTGGTGGTTCTTGAAGCGCTGACTCCAGCTGCAGTCCACTCTTTGTGGATCTCCCCCACATTTTTGAATGGGTTTGTCGTCACAATTCTCTGCAGGGTGCGGTTATCCCTAGAGCTTGTACACTTTTTTCTACCACATTTTTTCCGTCCCTTCGCCTGTCTGTTAATGTGCTTGGACACAGAGCTCTGCGAACAGCCAGCTTCTTTAGCAATCACCTTTTGTGTCTTGCCCTCCTTGTGCAAGGTGTCAATGATTGTCTTTTGGACAGCTGTTAAGTCAGAAGTCTTCCCCATGATTGTGGTGCCTTCAAAACAAGACTGAGGGACCTTTTAAAGGCCTTTGCAGGTGTTTTGAGTAAATCAGCTGATTAGAGTGGCAGCAGGTGTCTTCTATATTCAGCCTTTTCAGAATATTCTAATTTTTTGAGATACCAAATTTGGAGTTTTCATTAGTTGTCACTTATGAATATCAAATTTAAATGTAATGAACATTGGAAATACATTGGTCTGTGTGCATTGCATGAATATAATGTACAAGTTTCACGTTTTGAATGGAATTACTGAAATATTTTCAACCTTTTGATGATATTCTAATTTACTGGCCAGCACCTGTATCTATGTGGGTCAATTCCTTTTTTATGAACTTTATGTCTGAATTGGTGATTTTTTTTTTACTGGAGAAATTTGAACTAGGCAAATATGGAAGACTCTTCATACACAAATAGACAATCAATCTAGAAATCAAATAAATAAATAAGCAAATAAATAAGTAAACATGTCAATAAATTGGCTGCATGGTGGAGCAGTGGTTAGCACTGTTGCCTCGCAGCACAAAGGTTGCAGGTTCAAAACTCGGCTCAGCTGCGGCCTTTCTGCGTGGAGTTGCGTGTCTCCCCATGCATGCGTGGGTTTCCTCCGGGTACTTCGGTTTCCCCCACAGATCACAACATGCTTTATAGGTTATAAATTGTAAGTCGCTTTGGATAAAAGTGTCTGCTAAATAAATAAACATAAACATACATAAATAAATGTGGAAATAAAATTTAAAATAAATGCAATAAAAATCGGTATATGATGAAAAAATGATGTGGAGGACTCATTCTGCCAAAACAAACAATAAACAAATAGATGGTTTAATTTATGTTTAAGATTTTCCAAATATATTTACTCATATTCAATCTTATTCTATTATAAGTGTATTTATTTATTTCCTGTTTTACTTGGCACATTAATTTATTCATTTTCATATTTGATATTTATTTAGAATTTAGGCAAGATGAATTTTCCATATAAAAACAATAAATCCCACTAGATTTTTTTATTCATCTTATAGTTTAGCTTTGCTTTAGAATAAACATAAAAAAATTCTCAAATAACTGGATTTTACATATTTCAAATTATTATACTGTAATTATTCAGTATTTTAAGAACAAATTAAATGTAAACATAGACACACTATATATATAAAACTATTTAAACTCAAGCTTAACAAGAAAACGTGATCTTACGGCTTTATAGGGGAGATATTGATAAGATTACAAGTAATTGAAAAGAAGAATAAGGTAATTAGTATTGATTAGTAAATGAATGAAAAGGTGCAGCGGTGAAGCTAACCTTGACCTCTGGGACTGACCTGACACTTGCGACCCCACAGGTAGTACAGAGCAGCAGTGACGGAGCAGATGAACACCGTGTACGGTCTGGAAACACATTCCCAGTATGTTTTCCACAGCTCCACACTGGATAAATACATGATAGAACCCACTAGCTAACCCTCTTCCAGCTTCAAGCTAACCCGGTAGAACCGACTGCACTCGAGACAAAAGAGCAAAAACTGACAGGAAATGAATTAATAAAGTAAAACCCGACAACCTGCCTTCATTCCCAGCAGCTAACGGATCAGGGGGGTCTTCTTTACCCTGACAAGTCCCATAAACTCCGCCGTGTTCGGCTAACCGGCGTTTCACCGGGAGATGCCGCTTCCTGGTTTCAGGCCATAAACGAAGATCGTCTATTAGGAGCAGTTCGTTTCACTCCGCTTTGTTATTCTTTTCTTTTCTTGATGGGGATTAATTGTGCCTTGTCGCCCCCTTGTGCTCAATTAAGAGAACTGCAGCTCCGCACAACTTTTTGAAATTCAAGTTTATTTATATAGCGCCAACTCAAGACAATAGTCGTCTCAAGGCACTTCACATGGTAAACATTCCAATCAAGTCAGTTCATGGAGCCAATCAGAAAAAAGTTTCCTATATAAGGAACCCAGCAAATTGCATCAAGTCACTGACTAGTGTCAGTGACTTTACAGCAATCCTCATACGAAGCAAGCATTTAGCGACAGTGGAGAGGAAAACTCCCTTTTAACAGGAAAAAACCTCCAGAGGATCCTGGCTCAGCACTCTGACCAGCCTCAGCAGCTGGTGAGAGTGCATGCATGTTACTATTATCACAGTGTTGTACCTTTAAATTAATTAGGTCCTCATAAAGGAGTAAAAAGAACCTCAAGATCATATTAATGTCTTAAAGTTGCTGATTTCTATATATTGTGATGGATCAGTTGTCGGAGTATGAAACATGTTTCAGGTGTGAGTTGTGTCTTTGCACCCAATTAAAGCATTTATTTCATTGAATCTGCAGACTTGAGTTAGTTGAGTGATGCAATTTAGATTTTCAAACCAAAACAGTCCCTTTACCTTCATTTTCCCCAAAGTAAACACATTTTATATTGCAATGGTTCACACTCTTGTGGACGTTTTAACAATTTTTGATTGTTGTTAAAGTAAATTTACTTATTTTGAATGAGAAATTGGTTTACCAAAGTTTTTTTTATCAGGATATGCTGCCTTGTGTTCTGCCACACAAAAACACTCATTAAATTATAATAAAGTAATTCAGATTATTGTCTGAAACACATAGATTCACAAATATATTTAATCATTTTATTGGACACAATTTTGCAATGATTGCCATGTTTCTTGACCATTTTTTATTCAGTTGATTGCTGATGCCTTCTTTTATCTAAATGAGTGGGGTCCCTGCAACCATCTCAGACTCAATCCCACATTCATCATTTCCACGCCTGATCTTGAAGAAACCTGCAAAGAGCAGACAGCATGTCGTAAGATGATTGTTTCCAGTCAAGATTATGTAGAAACAACACAGTAGAAACATAGCTGCTGTTTACCTTTGTCTCCCCAGTCACTATTCCAGGAGTTTGCAGCCAGCCAGTAGGGGGTGCCGTTTTCCTCCCCCCAGCCAAGGATCTTAATGGCATGACCTCCAAGCATCTCCCCCTTCACATGCTGATACACTCCTGAAGAAAAATGATCCGATAACTCAGAAGAAACACAGTAGCAAATGTTAAAGGTCGATCCTGACATTGTTTCCTTGTTGGTCACTGGGTAGTAATTTGTAAAAAAAAAAAAAAAGTTCTTAAAAAGAAGAGACTAATTTCTAAAGGCTGCTAGACAACTTTACCTTCTCTATGAAGAATCAACTATAGTAAAATGAAGTTAGAAGCTTAAAAAAGGAAGCATTCAAGGTAGTTTGTTAGAAATAACCCTAAAAAGCCAAATGCCTTGAAAGGCACCTCTTTAATAGGACACGTGCTTCAAGAGCTATATCAAATCCCATACAAGTTTGCTCTCTGGTGGAGGATTAAAGTACTGCAGGTGACAAGTGTCTAACGATCTTGATGTTACACATTTTTAGAACCATCATTTTGTGTCAGGCTTTAAAAGATGTACACAGTATAACAAACAAAATCCTCACCGGTCTTGTACAGCAGAAAATCCTCATACACACTAAACGCTGCCTCCACGGGTCCGTTCTTAAACAGCTCAGTCATGATCTGCTCCTGCTGGGAAGGGATGCTGTACGAGCGTTTGCCTGAAGGAGGAGACACAGAGGAACTCCAGGGACAGATTCAAGACAAGGCATGATTGGAAAGTCGCTTCAAGTGATTATACCAAAGTGTTTGTCCTTCGGGTAAGACAGCGAGTATCCGTCGATGCACTGCTGCACACACTGAGGGGTCTGCACTTCGCCCTGGCAGGGAGGACGTGTTCCATTTACATGATGCTCGCAGGAGGCAATGGTGTAGGGTCTGCAACCTGGACCACACACACACACACACACACACACACACACACACACACACACACACACACACACACACAAAATCAGAGTTTCACCATGCACAAAGTAGCAACATCAACTGATGAGTTGGCTGAACTTACCAACGCTAGAATTGTACAAGCCTCCTGTCACAATTCCTTGGTTCGTCCAGAATTCCCAGGCTGCAGAAGGAAACCCACCAAAACACCTACAACCACAAAAACAGCCCATAACGACTCATTTAATGTTTTCTGAATCACCAACCAAAGTTTGCACATTTTAAGATTGGTGTGGTGAGATCAAATCGTAAAATTTGACAGCAGGGGAATATATTGGAAGGGAATTAGAAGGGAAAAGCAAAAGTCTTGTGGGGGGGGGGGGCATCCACCTTGGACTCCCTCAAATGTGATATTAGTTTAAAAATGAGCACTAAATGTAAAATCTAGATATTTGAATGCATTATTCAAGATCTGAGTCAACCTTGATGCCTCCTATAGAGGCTGGATCATGCTTTTTGTTTTAAATTTAATGGTCAAAAACAAAAATTGGAAGCTTAGGTGTTACACTTTTCTTCATAAGAATGCAAAAAAAGAAAAGACAAGCTCACCCCATGCCACATTCATCACAGCAGGACAGCAGATCTTCAGCTGAAATCTCCAGAGAGATCTTACCATTACTTTGGATACATAACCTGTCAGATATTGCCTCGACCGCCCCAAACGCCTGTGGAAAATCAACAACACCCGAGTGACAAGGTGATAAAAAATATGCATAGAGAGTTGTGTTTCTGTCCGTCGTACCCAGCAGGACCCACAGGAACCCTGATCTCTGATCTGCTGGAGTGTGGGACAGTTGGGCCACTGCTGGCGTGGGTCAAAGCTGTCAGGAAGCTTTGTGCCTTCGGTGTCATGAACTCTGAAATAAGCACGAGGACAGTCAATGATCGACTACAGATGATGAACCTGCTGGCTGTCAGCTGTTTGAAATGTGAGGAACACACACACACACACACACACACACACATACACAGTTACAACTTACACCTCTGGCAGCTTGGGCCCGTTCAGTATCGTCCCACAAAGTCCTTTCACATAGCTGAGGTCAACGTTTTGGAAGTTGTGACCAGCCTGGAGAAAAATCCACTCCGTTTGAGTTCATCCTGAGAATTTCCCACGTTATGAAAAACATATGGAAGCATCTCACCGTCCAGGTGGTGTTGGCTTTGTTAATAGAGTTGATCATCTCAGAGGACAGGGGAGTCAGGTGAGGGTGTGCCATGGAGACGGCCATCACCGCAACGCAGAAGAGGAACGAAGGATGCATCCTGCATCACAGAAGTCACCATTATAAAGGATTTTTACTTTTGAAAAGAAAACATGCTGAATACAAACCTGACAGCACAGAAAATAAATTATTTATGTGTTTTGACAGATTTTTTTATTAAAAGTACATTTTATTTCCAACACATTTAAACTCAAATCAATTATTAATAGTCAAGTGCCAAATGGTTTAATTTAAATATTTTAATTAATAGTACCAATTTTTATCTAATAAAGCCAAATGGTCCATTAATTCCTAAATGATGAAATAAGAGTGCTCTCATTCTAATTCCTGACCCTTACCTGAGTCGCTGTTCCAGCAGTGTTTCGTTGCAGATTGTTTTCCTCACAGAAATAAAGCTTCTTTCAGCTCTTTATTAAATGAAGAAGAGTCACATGTATGTGCAATAAACATGTCATGTGACCAGAAACACTCCAAAGGTTAACTGGAAACAGGAAGTGAGTTTAACAGGACCACCTGCCGCTTCATCGTTGGGCTGCATGGTAGCGCAGTGGTTAGCACTGTTGCCTCGCAGCACGAAGGTTGCAGGTTCTAAACTCGGCTGCAGCCTTTCTGCGTGGAGTTGCGTGTTCTCCCCATGCATGCGTGGGTTTCCTCCGGGTACTCCGGTTTCCCCCACAGATCACAACATACCCTATAGGTTATAAACTGTAAGTCGCTTTGGATAAAAGCGTCTGCTAAGTGAATAAACATAATAAACATCGTTGTGCCTTCGTCTGTTTGGAGACAATTTTCCTGTAAATTACTTAATGCACCTTTAAATTCAGTGTTTAAAAACTGATTATGGTTCAGAAATGTTGTGCATCCAATGTTATTTGAGGCCTTTTATCATGCAAATAAGACAAAAGACTTCTAGATAAACGTTTCAGCTCAAAACATCTGCAGAACATTTTGGCCATCAGCTCACAATGACATCTGCACGTTGTATCGCCTAAAGAAAAACTCTATACAACATATAAATGCTAAAATCTTACATTTAAACCCAACAAACCAAAACCAGATTTGTGTTTAATCAAGTTCACGTTTATCCTCATTTTATTCAAATATGTACAAATCAGCAAAAGTCACATTACATAGCAATGTTTGTAGATCTCCTTTGGTTCTGTACAAGGTTACTCTGTGCTAGCCTTTCTACTCACCAAAGCTGTATTTAAGGACACTTAGCTAACAAATTTCACATCTTCGAAATACGTTTTAATCCCATTTTAACAGTTCAGGTGGGATAAAACTACTCTGGTGTTGCAGAGTTCCCTTTATAAACACCCGTACTTAAGAAGAAACGGAACATATTCAATGTGTTTATCCAGTCGGTGAGACCTCTGCCATCATACAGCAGAAATACCGCAAAGTCCACTGGCGTTTTACCTAAAAATAGTTAAAAACTAAATGAAACACAAGCTTCGAAGGGGGTTGTTGGCAGCGTTCCTAAATCTGAAAATGGCTTTGTCGTCACGGCGATCGACACAGGATGGACTATAATTAAATTAACCCAACACCTGATCACAATTCAGGCCACATGGAAACAATTTCTCAGATTTGATGAGTCCCATGAGGATTATTCAATCTGTGAGGACGTCACTGCATGTCTCCTGTCCCTTGCGCCTGAGCTGCGGTCGTACTGAGGTACTGCCAGCTGAAAGCAGCCAGCAGCATGGCGGCCGACAGGTACATCGGAGACAAGTGGTGGGTCCTGGAGGAGAAGCTGGACTGCGGCAGAGCGGACGTCTCCTGGATTACAGCCAGGATGTGCAGCGTCTTGTCCCGCGACGGGTCGGTGAGGGAGACCTTCTGTAAAATCTGCAAAGAGGGAAGGTTTAAACGGACCGTCGTGACCACAAGAGAGGAAGGGCGTAAGAAAACGCACCCACCTCCTGACTGTACTGGGTGATAATGGTCTGCACAGCTCTCATGTTGGTGGCCTCCATCATGAGCGTGACAGCCTGTCCCTTTCTGATCTTCACCACGCCCTGAAACACCATGGGGTTGTTGTAGCATGTGGAGAGGGTCGCTATCGCCATCACCTGGACGACAGAGGAACCACATCTTGTCAGGTGGAGGAAACCAAGTGAGAAACTTCTTTGTATAAATGAATACAACTTTAAAGAGCAAGTCACCCCCAAATCAACTTTTTTTTTTCTGATAAACTATATAAATGCGTGTCTAATCGTGCTGCAGACACGTGTAGTCAATAGTTTAGCAGTTTAGTGCATTTTAGTTAAAATTTAAATTTTCTGCCTGAAACTGTCAGTGTTGTGCCATTGTCAGGTAAAAACTCTTCATTGCATTTGAATTTAAATCTGCCACCGCTATTGGCTAAGAGGTATGCTATGATGTAAACTGGTACATTATGATGCCACAATGTCGTGAGTGTGTGTATTTGCTAGTGGCTCCACCCTCTCGGGCTGCTAGGCAACTGCATTTGTTGCATTTTTCAAACGTGAAGTGGGAGTGAAGTACGCTTCTTGTAAGGGGTGACTTGCTCTTTAAATCGTACAGATTTGGAGAAAGTATAAATCAAAGTAAAAATTCATCTTTATTCTGCTTAAGTCTGGAGTCACTCCGAAATGAAGACTTTTCTAGATTTCTAGAATCTTAAAATTTATTAAAACTCAACAGATTTCAGAATATTATTAAAAAAATTGTTGTGATGTGATGGATAATTAGCAAACATTTCTGAGAAAACAAAAATATTTTGTGTAGAACATACGTTTCTTCTAAAGTTGTTACTGATTTTATGCACTAATGAATCCTTGAAGGCAGATTTTGGTTATTTAGAAATGTGTTTCTGCGTAAGTTACAAATAATTTCCTTCTAGCTAGTTATCTTCCTGAATGGCCTCAGTTTGGATAAATAAAGATGATGTCCTTCTGGATTGATGAGCGAACATTCAGTCCAAGTGCAGCCATGCCAAAATGTGCTGCTGTCATCTTTAGCCATTCATGCAACATTACTTTAAAAGCCTGAGAGCAATACGGGGTATTTTCCGGCTAAATGTAGCACTTCCTGTGCATCTACGGGGGATTAAAAGCGTTTGCAGGAACAATTACCACCGGTAAATATTGTAGCTGGTTTAAAACGGTGGTTTTTCTCTGCACTCAGACTAGCCGTTAGCTCATCAGTCCTTTTGGACAAACTAATTCTCTGACCTGAGGCGGTTCACAAAGCTGTCTACAACAGGCAACACAGGATTTATTTATCATTTTTAAACAAAAACACGCTTCTAAATGGTCAAGACTCGATGGATGAATCCTTGTTTTGTTTTGTTTTTTGAATGAACGCCTGCTGACACTGCAGCTGGTGTTTTTGATGTTTAATTTGATTTATTTTGTTCCTTTCCATTAATCTGGCCAATCAGTTGGCTAAAATCCTTCCTGCATCACACAATAAACCTGTTCAAGACGTCTTTACTTGTGGAATGGCGCAGAAGTTAAAGACGCTTTGGTTGCGCAGGCGGGACAGGTAGGCGATGACGTCGGGAACGTGGTGCAGAGCGTCTGTGACCAGCAAGTTGAGGCAGGACAAAGCTGACTCCAGTTTCTCAGGCTGAGCCAAATCCTCAAGCTCACTGGCGAACTGGCTCCATGCCTGCCCACACACACACACACACACACACACACACACACACACACACACACACACACACTACTGATTCTTCTGCAAGAGTAACAGTTCCTCTAACATCTTTCGATGATGATTTTTGAGCAAATACCCAAAAGGCTCATCTAAAGATTATGCTCCCACCTCTTTTGGCCAGAAGGCACGTCCTTCTCGTGTGTCCTCCAGATAGTCTCGGATGATGTTGGTCTTCTGCAGGAACAGGCCCATGGAGTTGGCCAGCTTTATGTCCCGTCCAACCTCGGGATCCTCCAGCTGGGAGGCAGAGAAGAGCCTCGACAGGCCGATGCCGACCAGACCGGCAACGTAGTGGCAGTACTGCACAAATAAAGACAGAAAGCACGACTTGTGTCATCATAACATGACATAAACAGCTAAATCCTGCCTGTAGATTAAAGAATAGACCTCCACAGATTAAATATTTAAAAAGTATTAGGAGAGAGGCGATTAATCTATGCCTGTCAGTCCTGAAGGGTTTGTGAGATAAGACTGAGATAAGAGGAAACACCAGAAAAAACAAATAAAACAACATAGAGCTCTGAATTAAAAATAATCTGACATTCTCAAGTCATTTGGAAGAATAGTCCAGAAACTAGATTTATATAACTGACAGAAACTGACTTTGTGCCTTCAATGTTGTCAAATTATTTACCTGGTCCCATTCCTTCATGGATCCTACGTTCTTCTCCAAGAATTCAGCCATTCCGACTCCCATCTGGTGGCAAATGTCCGAGATGACGTCTCTGTATTCCTGAGCGAGGTTTCTGAATTCCAGCGAGATCTGGATTCAAAAACACAATTTAACGACGAGATTAAAGCTTTATTTTTTCAGTTTCATTTGAAACTCCACACGGTGGTGCCGACCGTGGGGAAATCCTCCAGAACTCGCCGATCCTTCTCCTGGCTCTCGGTGAAGCACCACTCCTCCTGGTACAGGTAGGTGTAGAAATTGTTCAGCATGGGCACCTTCTTCTCCAGAGAGATGGTCATGTCGTCCTCAACTGTGTCCAGCGCTCGCAGCACCAGGTAGAAGATGCAAACTGCATGTCTGGATCATAAAGATGGCAAGAAAAGGGTGACACAGCTGGAAAAAAGGGAGGATCTGACACATATTTGTAGAGATTATTCCATAAAAATATATATTTAAAGTAGTCCGAGTGAGGGCACACCAGCACAGTGACATCAGGATTTTTTTTAATAATCTTAATTTCTGCTCTTCAAACGCGACTAAACAGGTAAGGGAACAAATTTGTAGTTCAAAGAGTCAATAAACTATCAATTTTGAAGAATTTTTTTATATAATTTTATTTCATCGAGTTTTCTGTTTGCTGTTTTTTTGTTTTGAACAGGAAATACAATTCTTGGCATTTAAAGTGCATTTAAGAAGAGTGCCTAGGACAAGACACACGTTTTTCCCAGTGCCAGTGAACTTACCATGGCTAAGCCTAACTCAGGTTAGCAATTTTGAAAATTAAGATTTTTCCAGTAAATTAAAAATTAGTCAGAATGTGTTTGGTTAATAATATTTTTGGGGACAACTGAACAGAATAGGAATCAAAAATCGGTATTGACACAACCCTGAATCGGTGCATAACTAAAAAGGGTGGTTTTATGTTTATTTATTTGGCAAACGCTTTTATCCAAAGCGACTTACAGTTTATAACCTATAGGGCATGTTGATATCCGTGGGAGAAACCGGAGTACCCGGAGGAAACCCACACATGCATGGGGTGAACACGCAACTCCACGCAGATAGGCCGCAGCCGAGTTTCGAACCTGCAACCTTCGTGCTGCGAGGCAACAGTGCTAACCACTGCGCCACCATGCAGCCCAATTCATTGATTTGTAACAAAAAAGTAACTAAAATATACTTTTATATTTGATACCTTATCAGTTTTCTGGTATTTTTTAATAAATTATAGGCTGCCTGAGGAAGTATTCTTGCGTGATCATGAAATGTTCAACAAACCAACACTAGATTAGTGCAAACCCTGTTGAAATAAATGCCATTTGCACATTATTCAGAACATGACTTGTGTATTTTTGCAGGATAGAAGGAACTACTGATATGGATGAATATTCGTTTTTTCAGCTTGCTTTTTAAAAACCGTTCTTGAGAAAGAGAGAGAGCTGCAGCCAACGCCTCCAGTTGTGTCCACATGAGGCAAACATGCCTGCAGACACACCTCTCTCCTCTCCAGCTCCCTGTTCTGCTGCTTTACTCACCTCAGCTCCCCGTCCAGCGCCTGGATCACGGCTGCAAAGCTCCGGCTGGTCTGGTTCAGATACAAGTAACAGGTTCGCAGACTCTCGCTCATGGACCCCTGGCAGGAGAGACAAAGGAAGGCTGTTTGTCGGTAGAAGCCCGCGGGTCTGAGGGCGCTACAGGGGCGGGCGGCCTCTTGCAGGCCCCGCTCCCCGAGCCGCCAGCCCTGCAGGAATGGGGACCGAGGAGCCGAGCCGCCGCTCCGAGGAGCCACCGAGAGAGAGCGCTTAAACACGAATAAAGAAACAGGACACTTGCAGCAAGCTCCGGCCATGCGAAAGCCCTACAATTACGATACGAGACGGTCCATTTGGACCGACTGGTGGACACGTTTCCAACTCGAAGCCCATGTAGAGGACAAGCGAACCGAGTGGGGTCGAGCGTGCTGGAAATCTCTTGACCGTTCGTCTACTGATCTACAAACAATCCCGTCCGTGTGCTTCGGGAGTAAAGTGAGTGCAGAGCGTTTGTAGATCTACTGTTATGATCTGACACACATCCCCCACCTCTAACCAAAACATTAGCAGCTACTGCAGTTTCACAACCTTAGCTAGCAATAAAAACGTAACCGTGTAGCCTCTAATTGTGTCCTGGCTTTAAGGCTTCATTACTGTGATGGATAAACGCGCTTTTTGAGATTATTTGCTTTAAATAACGTGCGTCTATTCACATCAACAATTAAAAAAAAATACAGAACGAAAGGAAGTTCGGCTTTGCTGACATCTGGTGGACATTTATCAGAATTACACTAACACGGCTTCTTGGGTTGAAATCTCAAAAAGAAATTTCTGTTTTTACGAATTATGAGTTTTGATATTTTAATTAAATATATTTAATATATAAAACTAATAGATTGGTCAAGTTATTGAAAATAAAACTCGTGGAAATGCTGACCAAGCCAATCAAATCTGCATATTGTTCCTTCAGACTGATTAATAAAATATACTTAGTTTATCTTAAATTTAAAACGACCACAAGAGCTCCACATATCTCCAAGGTCCTGATTGTGGATTGTTTACTTTAAGTGACCGGAGTCCAAACTAGAAGAAGTCTGCTGAGACAGCTTCTCATATGGTGTTATTGACAGTCAGAATGAATACATGCTTCATTTTTGACCAAGTGGTAGAAAAAAATGTAGAAATTTAACATTATAGAAGTCTGAAATAGGATAGGCAAAATGAAATGACTCCCTAACAAGTGCATACACAATTATACAACTGTCTGCACATAAAATCTACATCCTTTCAGCCAGTCTTTCTCTTCAGGTCACACTAGTGTTAAACTATGGGATTAGCCGTCAAACACACGTACACCATCTCTCCTTACTGGTGAATCCCATTACACAACCTAAATCCCGTCAGTGATCATCTCTGCCTGTGTGTAGACACAGATCTAATTTGACAAAGTCCAATTAGCTGACTCTGTTTCCACATTGCACCAAATAGGTCAATTCACCGCAGTATGGAGCAGCTCTGTGGCGCTTCTGCGGTGCAACAGGATGTCCTACATGAATTGCGTGGGGAAAAAAACTCTGATATTTGAAATGCATCCAATTTTTACCCCCAGTTGTGACATTTTATTCACTTACATAATCCAATTTTGTCATGACGGCTCGACATCCTCCCATCTTAAATTTGAACAGGTTCAAAATCTCTTCCGGGTGTCCCAGTGACTTCAGGATGTCCATGTCGCCCCCGGTGTCAGACGTCCCGCTCCTACTGTGATACTCTGCGGTGTGAGCCGGAGGAGATGCGCTCCATCAGGGCTTTGAGGCGCTGGGATGCAACTCCAGGAACATCGCCATTAAGAGAATTCTGAGTTCGGTCTGAAATGCGTCATATCGAATGACGCCGCTGATTGGCCGCTCGTTCCTCAGTCTAGAACTCAAAAGCCAATGAGCTGCGAGAGCGTCTGGCGTGATGCCCCGCCCTAAAGTGCCGTCATTCGAGGACGTCTTGTGATTGGTCAGTTCGTTCTCCAAAAGAAAATCTCACCTGTTCATTGAAATTCCCCGGAAAGCTTTTTATTTATTGTTTACCTAGACTGTCTCTATTCTCACATACATTCTGACTTTTTGACAGGCCGAGGTTCATTATTAAAAAGTGGAAAATAAATAAGTCAATGACAGCTTGAACACAGAGAAAAACAATCCAGCCAAACAGCAATATTAGTACTAAATATTTATAACAAAATATATTTAAAACACAGTGAAATATATAAATTAATTGATCAAATCCATTCACAGATTTAATGCTAGTATTTAAATGCAATAATCTATTTAACAGGATCATTGTGCTCCTCAACCTGCTGTATTACTGCAGTTGAGACGTAAACATTTTATTAACATTTATTATTGTTATAAAACCGAAAACTATAATAAAGTAGATAATTACACATAGTTGTATTAGCACTGGCGAATAAATAGTTTATTTATTAAAGCCAAACCCTTCGTGTCTCTTTAGCTGCTTCAGCATTTTTATCCTGGCGAAAACTAGGAACATTTGATTTGTGCATCACCATGGTTCACAGAGCCCCGGGATGCTCTGCACACCTCCACAGGTGTCTTAGTTTGCAGCTGGTTGTGTGTCTCACTGTCTGCTCCAAAGCTAAGATATGCTTAGACTTGTTGTTTATCTTTGATAATGAGCTTTACACTCTCCGCCCTGCAATTGGCAAAACAAACTAAGAGAGGGAAAAAAAATCTGCTGAGCATAATTTCAGTCGAGACAAGCCCTGACTTACACCTGACACGATCTCAGATCAAGCTCTAGGAATGAGTAAATAGTTGCAGTTCCTGCCGCAAAACATGAAAGTCATTGCACCTGCAGTCATCACAGGTTATTGAGATTTTTGGCAAAGCTCGTAATAATCTTGCTTGGATTATATTACTTGTGTGAGTGTTCATAAATTGATTTTAATCAGAGAGAACTGAGCTGAATTATGCTGTCACCTGAGTGTGCTTTAGTCATTTTGCACTCCAGCTGAAATAAGAAAAACAGATGCTTTAGAGTGGTGTGGATTCTTGGAGAGGTCCAGATCAGTGGAGGCTCCAGATGAGCCAAGGGTGGAGTCAGAGGTGCATTGTAAGGGAGACGTTTCAAAGACTTTTTAAAAGGCAGAAAGAGTTTAACGGCATGCTATGCCATTTTTCTTATTTTTAAATCACTTTCTTGAGCCAGTATGTGCTAAAATGGTTCTTTAAAGGGTTAATGAAATATCACTCAGACTCCAACTGCCTCCTGTGGTCAGAGTACAGCATTTGCAACTTCAGAGTTGCCGGTCCGGTCCTTGCTGGGCTTACTAAAGTGGAGCTGACACATATGGTGCTGCAGACTGCTTCCAGCATGTTTTCTGCATGTTTTAGGTCGTGAACAGAGTTGATTTGTTTGATTTAGTGATGAACTGCTCCTGTGGACACTAATGAAGGCTGAGGAGACATTTCAGCTGTTAGATTAAGGTGTTAAAGACAAAAGCACAGTGAGGAGATGAGTTTACTTTTGTTTTCACTAAACGACACTAGGGGGCGATAAAAGCAAGCCAAAACTGCTCAGTATTTCTAGAGCAGTGGTTCACAGACTTATGGGATCATGGATCAGGGACCCCTTTCAGGATGCAAGGACCCCCTTATATAATGTTGCAGCCAGGTTTTTCTGAGGTAATGAAAAAAAATGTTTGATTTGATTCTTGAACTAAGGTTGCTTTGTGTTTGGATGCTTCGTTAACCTTGCTGGCCGTATTTGCTGCACTTGAACCCACATTTTGGTCTTCCATTGGCATTCTCAACAAAGCCAGAGATTCACCAAGCGTTTTCTAAACCCGGTGGGCCGCCAGGCTTGCTTGATAAAAGAAAATAAATAAAAAATTGCACAGGCTGATGTTTTAAGCTAAACATTTTATCTCCTGGAAGTGTTTTTTGGATTTTTTTTAATGTGGCCCAAAATGAAAAGCTTTTTATAATTCATGTGGCTTTTGTCTGTTCACTTCCCTTCCTCAAGCTAGTAAACTCTAAAAAAAGTCACCATATTTAATCATGTGACAAACATCTTTTTAAAAACACAAATGAACAAATTGATGTGATGTCAAAATAAATGTCCTAGAATAATAATCAAAGCCTGTTCGTGTCAGGGGTCATTAAGGGCCCTGGCTTTACTTACAGCACTCTGAACAGCAAGAAGCAGAGGTGTGGACCCGAATCGCTTGACTTGGATTTGAGTCACTATTTCGATGAATTTAGAGTCAACTTAAAGAAATCACCAAAGTTCTCAGATTTTAACACCAGTCTTGCGTGACGTCACTTGCACTTGAACCCTCGGAATTTATTCGAGTGAAAATTTAAATATCGTTAAAGGGATGCTATGAGTTTTGTCTTGCTTTTAGCATCCCCTAGTGCCCTTTGGTAAAAAAAAAAAAAAAAGTAAAACTCTCCTTGCGTTCCTCCTTTTAACACCTTATTCTAACAGCTGAAATGTCTCCTCAGTCTTCATTAGTGTCTACAGGAGTGATTCATCACTAAATCAAACAAATCAGCTGTGTTCACAATGTAAAACATGCAGGAAACATGCTGGACGCGGACTGCAGCACCAGCTGCACTTCAACTCCACTTTACTAAAGTCCAACAGGGACCAGACCGGCAACTCTGAAGTAGCAAATGCGTTATTCTGGCCTCAGGGGGTGGTGGGGGTCTGACTGAAATACCCTGTGAAGGGTCATTTTAGCACATACCGTGTCAAGAAAATTAGTTTTAAAAATATGAAACATTTGCATAGTATGCCTTTAAGTAGCATGTGGAACATCAAAGCTTCTTTTGAGGTGAGGTTCAGTTGTGTCTGTTCTGTGAATAAATTATAAATTGGACAAAATTACTTGTTTAAGAGTCAAAATGTAAAGTTTAGGAGTCGGAATCGACTGAAGACCTGAACAGAAAGACCTGAACTTGTGACTTCCAAAACAGTGACTCAGTCCCACGTGCACGAGATAACAAACCCAGCTGATTTGAACAGTTTGTCACAGTTTTTACGAGTGAAATTAACATTATCAGACGATTGACACCGACCACGCCCAGATCTTGTCTAACAAGTTCTTTAGCATTACTGTTTATTCCTCAGACGTCCCCCGCTTCTACAGCTTTGCCTCTACATGTTTGACTCATTTAATGAAGACTGCACAAAATCCCAAAGAAAAGCAACAATTGGTATTCTAATTAAAAAGAACAATGAGTTTATTGTTGTTGCTATCTTTCAATTTCGCTTTGGAGAAGCACCAAAAAGGTTTAAACTCAAATACGTAAACAGACATGATACCTAAGTGGTTTATTTTTTTTTGTTTTTTTGGTGCTGCTCTTTAATTTGCAATCATCATCATATTTTTGATCTGAGAGAAACTCTTATTTGGACCAATTCCTGCACCATTTTCTTCTTCTGTGAATTGTTAATGGGTAAAGAGACCAACACGCACAGTCCTGAGTGAGTGAATGCAATTTCCTGAAGGGCTTTAACGCCTTGCTCATCTTTCTTTGTTGTGTAACTCCCATCAGTCATCATGACACCTAATAATAACCCAAAGTAAGTCTTTACACTTGAATCATCGCATTAAATTTATGGGTTTGTTGCCTTTTATGATGTAGTTAAACTGCATTTTTCAAAGAAGACGGGGGGGGGGGGGGGGTTGATTAGAGGTGCTATGGAGACGTGTGAACGATGATGGCACAAACACAGAAACTTGGCTTAGAGCAGGAATAGAAAGCCAGTGTTCCGGTTAGGCTGTGAATAATTAAGGGAGGTGGGGCTCAGTGCTGCCAGTTGCAAAACTGCAGCGTAAGTTTTGCAGCAGCCACAGCTTGGGACTGCGTTCTGCCGGAGACACCGGGTCTGACATTTCTGCATGGATATTCATATGTGAGTGAAATCAATTTATAAACCAGGAATGGTGCACAAACTGTCCTCTTTAACGTGTTTAACTTTCTTTTTCTTGTAAATTTTACCATAAAATAATCCACTTTCACTAGAACTGCACTGGGTGTAATATGGAATGCATATTTAGATAGAATCTGATCAAATTCTATTTGATGATTTATTGATTTTCATCCAGGTTTGGACGTAAGCGACCTCTTTTCAGTGGACATGAAGAGCAGCTGCTGCCGTCCTGCAAGAGGAAGTGTCTAACAGACTGGTCAAACAGAGCTTTACAGCATGATGGACTTAAGTAAGAGCTTAAAATAACTTTTTAAATGTATAAAAATAAAAACAGCGACACTTTTATCCTTTGTGTTTCGCCAAAAGGGTCATCCATATAGTGTGTGCTTATTTCTAAGGTCCTTATCTTACTTATTTTTACCTTTTTATCTTTCAGACTTATTTAATCTCTAATCTAGACCACAAATGCACCTGAGAGTCATTAAATAATCCCATCCATTCATGTTTTCAGACTAGTAAATCCAATAATCTTTATGCTTTCTTCACAAATAACAAAAACTTTACATGTTGATGTCGTACAGTTACTCCTCTGCAATAATTTCTCCAGATTTTGGTTGTTTCTGGATCATTTTGCAGCTTTTGAAAGCAAAACGCACTCAAGTTTAGGTGAACTTCCTGGAATTTTGTTCCTCTTTACATTAGAAACATCCCTCGGGCATTTTGCCGACGTGGTTCAGGTGCACGCTTGCTCTTTATAGCTGCAGCAAAGTTTGTACAGGCTGTTCTCAGTAGACGCCTGACCTAGACGAAACAGTTCCTTTCGTGTGACAGAAGCAGTTTGGTCTGGAATGCCAGGAGCAAAGCATCGATGTTGGAAGGTTGTTGGGGCGAGAGAACGATCCGTTGCAACTTATAGAAAAATGTGTACAAATGTGTGAAAATGATGAATTTCTCTGAAGGTGTGAAATTTTACACGAATCAAAGAGGTAAAATAAAGAGTTGCTTGTTATGTAAGAGTTTGAACATCATCTCTTGAGGAAGGTTTGTCAATTTTAGTGGAATCTTGCAATCTTTTTGCATTTGGAGAGCTGCTAATGCTAACTCAGCTCTAAGTTATTTAACTGCATTTGCTGTCAACAAAGCTGTTATTCCAACACCATTCTCATTGTTGTGAGGGGTTTTAACCACGTGCATCTAAAAGCTCTGTGCCCTGAACACCACCAGCATAGAAAACATGCCACCATACATTTGTATGTCGATGCTACAGACACAAACCACTTCCACACCTGGCCCAGTCTGACCACATGACACTGCTGATGGTTCTTGCAGACAGACAAAAATCTTTACAGCCTGACCCGATGACACTTCTCTGCAGCTGCAGGTTAACCAACTGGGACCTTTTTGATAATCTTGACCTGGATCTTTACACCGACCGTGTTCCGTGTAACATCCGGACTTGTGCTAACACAGTCAATGTGAGGAAACATATCCGGGTGCAGCAGCTGCTAAAAGAGAGGAGCTCTGCTTTCAGGTGGAGTGACAAGGCCTTCTCCAACAAGACTCATAAAAATTTAACTAAATGAAACAGTTTTATTTTTGTTTGTTTTTTTGCAAACTTGTTTTATTACGTCGCCGTCTTCCTCCGCTTATCCGGGTCCGGGTCGCGGGGGCAGCATCCCAACTAGGGAGCTCCAGACCGTCCTCTCCCCGGCCTTCTCCACCAGCTCCTCCGGCAGGACCCCAAGGCGTTCCTCTCCAACGTGTCCTGGGTCGACCCGGGGGCCTCCTGCCGGCAGGACATGCCCGAAACACCTCCCCAGGGAGGCGTCCAGGAGGCATCCTGACCAGATGCCCAAACCACCTCAACTGACTCCTTTCGATCCGGAGGAGCAGCGGTTCTACTCCGAGTCCCTCCCGAATGTCCGAGCTCCTCACCCCATCTCTAAGGCTGAGCCCGGCCACCCTACGGAGGAAACTCATTTCGGCCGCTTGTATCCGCGATCTCGTTCTTTCGGTCATTACCCAAAGCTCATGACCATAGGTGAGGATTGGGATGTAGATCGACCGGTAAATCGAGAGCCTGGCTTTCTGGCTCAGCTCCCTCTTCCCCACGACAGATCAGTTCGGCGTCCGCATCACTGCAGACGCCGAACCAATCCGCCTGTCGATCTCCCGATCCCTCCTGCCCTCACTCGTGAACAAGACCCCGAGATACTTAAACTCCTCCACTTGATGTAGAACCTCTCCCCCGACCCGGAGTTGGCAAGCCACCCTTTTCCGGTCGAGAACCATGGTCTCAGATTTGGAGGTGCTGATCCTCATCCCAGCATCATGTTTTATTACTTTTATGTTTATGCATGTTGCATCAAACAAAAATGACATTAAATGCAACAGTCTCTGACCAGAAGAACTATGTTACACATTTAAATCTGTATATTTGGGAAATAAACCAAGTATTTCTTCTGTTAACCTCTATTTCATATTCCAACAAATATAATAAAATCATTTTTGTATATTCACTCCTTCATTTGAATAGATGCAAGTCAATGCCTTATGTTTTTTTAAGGGCAACAGTGGCTATATCACATCAGCAGAGACTTCCTAAACACTTGGATACATTTCTTTGGTTGACATTTAGGCCACACGTAGCTGGGATTATTTTCAAAATTGAATGTCCACTCCCACCCATCTAGAAAAAATAAACTTGGGCCCACACCACCTCGTTTTCAGCAAAAAAATAATTATCCAGTGCATTGTGAAGCACATTCATAGGCATGCCAAGCCTGTAGGAGGCAGTAGTTCCACAAATCATTCACAGCTGTCCCCAAAACACCTTGCTTGGTGGAATAACTAGGTGGTAAACAATAATTTCATCCTGTGGTCAGCTACACAGAGGAGTAAGAGCATGTAAAAAAAAGTGAGCGTAAACACAGATCGCACGTGCATTTTTGTCGTTGGCAGTGACATTGTGAGACCTGAAACTTCGATTATTTACCACCCCAAGCAACTGCTGAATTTGCAAATCTCCACTTTAGTCTGAATTTTTGAAAGAATCGTTTTTGATGTTGTAAATCTTTGCTTTCATGACAGCCATGAGCGCTAGGAAAAGATCTTCGTTTTGTGGGAATCCCGGTCATGGACGAAATTTGGGGGGGGGTGCCCCCCCCCCCCCCCCCCACACACACACTTTTTCGAAAGTCAAGTTTTGACCCCTGCACTTTTTACCATCCAAAAACAATATTACGCTATATTAAATTGACACTGGTTGAGCTCTAGGACCAAGCGGTAAACAACCGTTTGTGTTGAAGCCTGTTTCCCATTAGAGCATACTGTAAAGATACCCCCGTCCCCCCCCACTTCTAAAGTGAAAATTACGTCCATGATCCCGGTTATGTGTGTACAGGGTCTAAGTAGATCTTTGCTGATTCTTATATTCTTTTGTATTTTAGGGCATATGTGTCTCCTACCTGGGTGAGCAGGGGGACCAAATACCTAACTGACACCAAAGGGCTCTTTGGGCAGATTCTATTCTGGTCAAACACCCAAAACTCTGCCAAGAAAGTCTTGGAGCATCTCCGATCCAAAGCAGCCATTGTTGACACTCTGCTCAGTGACTCAGTGAGCAGGAAGTTCTCAACGTTCCACAGAGACATGACCGAGGAGTGCGGCGCCGAAGCTAAACAACATTCGTGGGCTGTCCTAGAGAAACCAGAGGAGATCATCATGTACGGACCTTATTATCCCAACTACAACAACGGAGAGCACAGCGAGGACATCATCATCAAACAAACCCAGGAGCTGCTGTGTTCAAGGGACGTTCCCGAGGACTGGAAAGTGTACGTTTTCACCATGAACAGCCCGTGTTTGGTGAGAAACACCGACCCGTGCATAAACACCGACCCGTGCATGCTGAGCCTAATCCATAAAGCTTGGGAATGGTGGAGAGTGCATGGAGTGAAGACTCACATCGGTTACGTGAGATGTTGGGGCTTTAAAGGAAACAAAGAAAACCTGTTTAAGGAAATCAACTTCAGACAGGTGGAATGTATAACTCAGGGTGTGGATTATGAGAGCTACAGTAAATTAGCAGATAAGATAACTGATCTTAATCCTCTGTGCGAAACTGTGTTTTCCATTGCCAAAGACGTCTTAAGATCCGATAAAAAACACTTTCCTATGATGTCAAGTGACCAGAAGCAGGACAGGAGGAGTTATTTCAAAAGCATGAGCTGCTCATTCGAAGGAAAGCAAGGAGATGAGAAAAAACACCTGACAACGGAACTGAACACAATGATCGAAGCAGCGGAGGCTCTGCTTTCGGAGAAACCCGAAAGCATTGAGGAACATTTAGAGAAGGGAGAGGCATTCTCAATGGCTCACACTTTCAGCTCTCAGGTATGTGAAGCCCTCCGGGATGAAATGAGAGTCAGGTTTCAGCAGTGCTGGAGGGAGATGGTGCAGGACCGGTATGCAGAGTTTGTCAGGGATGAGCTGACGGAGAAGTTCAATCGGAGTACCGTCCAGCTCTTTCTCCAAGATGTACAGACGTTTACGCGACAGTATTTGCAAATTGGAAAGCTACAGCTCTAGGATGAAGATTTCAGAGCAAAAAAATAAATAAATGGTGAAAAGATGACGAAGAAGTCCGTGTTAGACATAAAGTTGTTATTCTGTGTCATGTTTTTGAAACACAAGGGAAAAACTCTGTTTACATTTCACATACCATTTAGATGATGTGAAAATGCCTTGTGGTTATTACTCCTGCAATATCTCACGAAGGAGGCAGAACATAATTACACTGGAGTGACGTTTTCAAACATTTACACTCAAACATTTGGAATTTCTGTAGTTTCACACGGAAGTATTCCACCTTTACACTGAATGCGTCCTTGTTAGGAGCAAATTCAAAGACAAACTGTACAATTGAAGTCCTCTTTTTTATCAAACAATGATAATAAGATGAAAATATGGACTGGGGTTTATAAAAATACATTTCTGTGAAAATAGCATATTGAATGCAGGTCTAGAAGGTGTCTATCTAGACTTAAGTCAGCAGAGGGAGCTAAATGATCAGCTGAAAATGTCATGCACTGCTTTTTTTCTGTCTTTTGCTGCTTTGGTTGTTTATTACATGAAATCTGGAAGAGATCTCTGAGAATCCAGATTGTAATCTAAGGGGAAAAGGCACAAAGTGAGTGGAAACACGAAGGAGGTTGTAATGCTTTGATTGTTGAGGAGGTATAAAATCAATATGTTTAAATTCCCCTAACTGATTTTAAATGTGTAAAATTGAAAATATTTTGTGGAAAAGGTGTGTTTTTGTACTAATTGGATATTTATTTGGTCGAATTTCAAAGAAAAATTTAGCAATCAGCTCATTTTCAGTTTGGGGTGTTGTGCTGAGATGTGTTTCCTTGTTGAAATCTGTTTCCCCCATCTTAGATTTCCAGCTACCGGGGTATCTCCCCTTTCTGATTTACATACTAATTTGACATAAATGGAGTAGAGGAATTCAGGAAACAGATTTTGATGAAGAACACATCTTGACACAGCAATTCGTTACAAAAAAGATTCTAAATCCGAAAAGCAACATTTTCTGCAACAAGCCAGATTTTCCAACATATTTCTAAATCAACAATGTGCATTTGTGCCGTGCATTACTTTTGCAGTAGATATTTTATTTAGCCTAAAAGAGCCACCGCAGTTGCAAAACCTCAAATTTGGCTAAATCACGAGGAATAAAACCATAGAAAGGCCGTTTTGTTTTGGCCCTGTTCTGATTTCCTTGAACTTCTAGTCTGAAATCCAAACTGCTTCTCCAAACGGGGGGATTTGCTGATGTCTAGTAACAATAATACTCTAAATACTCATGAGTACTTTCCCAAACCTCTATTCAAAGAGAAAATACATGAACTATTCCTCTTATTACCTCTAAAAATATCCCATTAACTAGCTGTGACTCACTGAGGCTGTGACTGGTTGAATGTTTGATTGCTTTAAGTGATCAGATCAACCAAAGGTGATCCACCTTTTACACTACATGTACTGTTTCAATGAAATAATGTGAATTTGTAGAAGAAAAAAAACCTTGAAAACCACAAAAGGAATCCTGTTGTTTTTTGTTCTGTTGTGGCGTGGTTGCATTATTGTGCTGTTTATTTTTCAATAATAATGTGAACTGGCCCTTTAAATACACTCTGTGGATTCTGTTGCATGAATTTGTCCAACCATCAGTTTCAGAGCAAGAAGGTGACTGATTGCCATGTTATGTCCCAGTATCTGTTAGGTAAGCTGGCACTGGCTTTGGTCAAAAATTCAAAAATGAGGAATATATATATATATATATATATATATATATATATATATATATATATATATATATATATATATATATATATATGTGTGTGTGTGTGTGTATGTATATATATATGTATATATATACATATTTATATACATACAGACACATATGTATATATATATGTGTGTGTATATCTATATATACATACATATATATGTATGTATATCTATATATATATATGTGTGTGTGTGTGTGTGTGTATATATATATTACATATATACATATACATACATATATATATATAGATATACATACATATATATATGTATATATATACATACATATGTGTGTATGTATATATATATACATACATATGTGTGTGTGTGTGTGTGTGTGTGTGTGTGTGTGTGTGTGTGTGGTTTAGTCCTTGGTTGCTCAGGAAAGTGTGTGTGTGCGTGGTGGATATCATATTTCTGTCCCCGAGTTTAAAACTGACAGTAATTTTTATTAGACACAGTGAGGTCATCTTGACCAAGAGCAGCAGTCTGGAGAGTTTCTTAAGTTCACTGTACATAGGTAGTTATTTGAGTTGCTGAGCTGGAGGTCTCCTAAGCCAGGATTAAGTTGTTCCAGGGCTCTGCTTTAGAGCTGGAGGACCCGCCATGCCCCCCTGGAGGCATCTTCAGAGGAATTGTACCTCCCTGAGCTGCCATGTGGGCTGGTAAGGCTGAAATCTGCCAAAATAAAACAAAAGAAAAGACTGAGTCTACTGAGCCTGCATTATTTGTAATCCACATAATGCTAAGACCTCTACCTCTTTAACAGGATTGGTACTTTCCTTAAAACGTGCTTTAATCATAAATGCATGTCTTCTGGCCACAATATCATGTAAATAAATAATATTTAATCCATTGAACGTTACACTATTCATCAATAAACTGTTTCAAAGGGTTAACTATGACAAAATGGTGGAAGGTGGAGAAATGCCAGGGCTAAAAAGGGCCATAGAACTCTTGCTTATGGTATTGAAGCCATTAAGTTTCCACCCCGGTGAAACCGTCTTACCTGTGTGTGGGAGCTGTGGTGGTACAAGCTGTGGTTCTCCGGCTCTGTCTTTATCTGCCGCTGCTCCTCTGTGATGGAGGTGGTGGAGGTGGAGGAGGAGGAGGAGGAGCGGGGAGTGTTGCTTGGTGTAACTGGAGTCCCGTCACTGCCTGAAGGCCCCACATAGACCACAAAACATTAACGTTGAACGCAACTAGAATATAATCTGTAATGTGTGATTTGTTGGATATAAACATTGATTCCTTTTAGTACGACTGAATTTAACCTGAAATATAAGTGACATAGATGTGTGTACATCGTACCAGTTTGGGGCTTGTTTAGATTTTTAGGTTTACGTTTGCGGGTTTGAATTCCCTCTTTCTTCATAGCCAGAGGTCGGGGGACCTATTGAGACAAAACATAAACGATCAAGTGAAACATTTGTTTATTTCTTGGAACTAATATGTTTAATATTCTGAAGTTATGAAGAGGGTTTCAGTGGAAACGTTATGCGCCGGTAATATCTTACCTTGCTCTTTGAACAACTGCAGTTTGGAGAAACAGGGATTACAAGTCTGATGAGCCAACAGTTACAGAGTCCATTTTCATTCTCTCCAAACTACTCCGATTTCCTAGCCTGGTAAGCCATCCTTTAAATATATAGTCTGGCCACGACCCATAGCACTAGGACCAATCAGAGCAACGAACAAATGTGACATATCCATAGCGACGAAAAGAAGTCAAAAGGGCAGTTCGTCATACGTCGTCGAGGAAGCAAAAGACGTAACAGTTCTGCTCCTGTCTCAAAGAAAAGCGAGTCTAAATCATTCAAAGTCGATGCCAAACTCAGACGAGCGCCGTTCCTGAAACGTTGACATCATTGTTGTTTTACTGCAGCTCTGCCTTCATCGCAAAAAAATCAACAACTCTGCCACGGTGACGCTAAACCCGCCCAGCATCTCTCTACAGAGTGCTGTGATTGGCCCAACCTACACTTAGCTAAGCCAATGGTAGACCTGCTGAGGCTGCAATGACTAACCTGCAGAGCTAAATCTTTTAATTTTATGTTTATTTATTTATTTAACAGACGCTTTTATCCAAAACAACTTACAGTTTATAACCTGTAGGGCATGTTGTGATCTGTGGGGGAAACCGGGGTACCCGGAGGAAACCCACGCATGCATGGGGAGAACACGCAACTCCACGAGCCGAGTTTCGAACTTGCAACCTTCATGCTGTGAGGCAACAGTGCTAACATCTGCGCCACCATGCAGCTCATGTACATAGCCATAAAAGATCACGCAAATGTTTTAAAAAAATTATCAAGACCCAATTTGGCATTTTTTGACTAATTGTTAGCTCATCAGTTTTGTCAGAAGTAATCTCTGTTTCTCCACACTAAGGCTTTTCGCATAGCTATCTACAAAAGTTAGGATGTTAATCTTTCCTCGGAAGTACACTTTGAAGTGCTAATAAATTCTGCTTACTCTTTTCACGTGTTCACCCTCTTTCCTTCAGGCAAAAGACGAAGCAGCCTGAAAACCTGTGCGACAGGGCACATAGTCTTTTCCCAAGGCTGCGAGGATCACGACCTCTGACCCCTAATCTCTCCTCTACATGATGATTCGATCCGTTTCTGCCTCTTACCCCGTGGAGTTTCATGTAGAGACCACAGGCGTTGCAGACTGGCTCTCCTTCTGCGTTTCGTCGCCACAGGGTGGTGGTGGTGGTGTGACAGTTGGTGCAGGAAAGGCCCACCCTCCTCGAGGCAGACTGCAGCAGGTAAAAGACATCCGTCATCAGCAAAGAAACAGACCACACGTCCAAAAAAACCAGCTGATGAAAGATGAGACAAGCTCTTGCGTGGTCTGTTGCCACCCACCAGCCTCCTTTGGGGTTTGATGAGCGGTCTGTTGATGCCGTTCATCTTGTGGTACAGGCCGCAGGCGTTGCACAGGTAGTGGCCGGTACCATCCCGCCGCCAGAGGGGGGTCGACATTGCCCCGCAGTTCACGCATTCTCGTCCCTCAGCGAAGTCATCAAACAAGTCTGGTGGAAAAAAAATAATAAAAGCTTCTGTTGCAGTTACATGGACTCACCAGGAGGAGACGCAGGCTGCATCACACAGCAACAGCCTGGAATCCTTCCTTATCTCATATCACCCTTCAGATAAAAGCTGGCTGGAAATAGAGCTCCATCCGTTTTAAAAGTGCATCACATCTCTTTTCGTTTTCGTTCTCAGACAGCATCTGATAAATGTGATTGTCGCCCTCTCATTTGCCATATAACAGAGCGTCAGCCAAGGACCACTTAGCTGTTGGGAAAAGGAGACATCAATCTGTGAAGTGGAGGTGTCAGCTCGGCTTCTCTCTCCTGCAGCACGAGCTACGGATCTAAGTTCACATTGATGGATTGCAGAAACCTGCTAATTCAAACCCCATCATAACGATAAGGAACAAATGCAATTCATTACTCCTGATAATCCGAGCTACATCTGCTACTCCCTCTCTGCAAAGCCAAGCATGCACAGGGCCCCTCAAGGTTGGGAGCCAAGTCAAGCCGGCAGGGCGAGGTAACCTTGAGCTTCAGGCAACAAGTGTAGCCAACACAATGCTGCAGAAATAAGACAATGCTCAGCGGAGCCCTGCAGCGTCCACCTCTAGCTAAATGAAAGGGGGTTTGCTGCACCGTGAGTTTTTATCAAGCAGCAGCCTAAAAACATCCACACAAACACTTCAGGAGGTCAAAGGTCAACATGGAAATACACAGCTCATTTATGGAACTATGGTGGTGTGAACTCTTTATTTAGTTTTCTTTGTTGATGAGCTACAAAAAAATGCGAAGTTATTGAAAACTTTCCAGAGGTTTAATTAATTAAACTAACTTAATTGTTTGTGTTGGGTTTATAGCATTTTTTAAAAGCCTAATTATCTTAATTTTCATGATAAAATTTTTCCTTCTAACTCAACAAACCATTATTGACACCAGATGTCAAAACATAAAATATAAATATGATGTAACACCACTTTTTTGATTCGTTCTTTGATTTATTCTAATTTTAAACTCATTAAATAAAGTTAATTTGTTTTTAATGTCATTTAAATTGTATTCATTAATTTTGTTTATTCTATGCGTATGTTTTTTATTTTACTGTGGTCAAATATATTTTCTTGCTTTCATGCAATTTTATAAGCACGTTAATAATAAATGTAATGATTATTTGACATGACTTTTGTTTGTTTTTTTACATTTTACAGCTATAAGAGAGAAACTTGTGTATATTTTAATACCTTAGAGATGCTCTGGAGTTGAAATAACTGAGTTTTAGAGCTTAAACGTTGATTTTTAACGTAATTATTGACAAAAATGTTTATTTTATTTGACGATTATTCATCCTGAGGAGTTGATTAGGAACTCAATCTCATTTACAACGAAGATCTGGCCAAGAGGCAGCCGCAACAGGACATGAATGAATTTTTTGAATAAATCAACACTTAAATGAACCTAAAACAATTATTAAAATTAAAACCATGTTTGTTTGAATAATCAACCTTAAAAGATTCCAAAAATTGTTATTTTTACTTTTTCCCACTAAATCAGGGAATGTTTGCAATGTTGTTAATTAAATCCCAATGTGATTTGATTCAATTAGCTGTGATTGGAACCCTGAATATGTGACAAAAACATGTAAACAAAGGTGATAAAGAGACATTATAGAGAAGAGGAGGTCAGATAATTGGATCAGAGCTGTTATCTCTGCTCTGGAGAGGCAGCCTTGTAAATAATCGCAAATCCCTTGTTCAACAACTGACAAAGACTGGACTGAATTGAATCAAACTGTGATGTGATCATGTGAGTTTATCTTAATAATCAGAAATGTTTGAGAGTGACCCAAAGCTACTAATGAGGGTTTCTAGAATGAACGGAAAACACAGATAGCCGCTAACCTATTTTATTAATTAATTAAAAATTGTGAAACCTCTGCATGAATCAGTCATTCAGCAAATAAAATCCAGACCCGGAAATTAAAATAAAAAGACTCAACGTGGAAGATATTTGCAGAAAGAATAAATGTCGCCACAATTAAACAAAAACCTGTTTGACGTTTTACTTTACAAATAAAATACATTTTCCATATCAGATGTGATCCAGAAGGCCGCATATTCAGCTTCAAGCTAGAACTGTGCAACAAAATCAGCTTTATTTATATTTTAATTTAGAAAAAAGCTGATTTTGAGGGGAATTGGCACCTTGTAAGTTTGTCATGAGTTATTTAATAAAACAGATATATTAATCTTTTACCTATTAAAAACTAATTTGACTATGTTTTACATCCTTGAAGAGTTTAGCTCTTTTTTACGTGTTTTCAGTTATTTGTTGCGTTGCTGCTTAACTTTTTGTTGCTTTGTGCGTTATTTATTTATTTATTTACTTACTTATTCGTTGATTCAATAAATATGTTAAACCGGAAGCGATGTTCTCCACAAGTTTTAACAATATAGTTGTGTATTTTTTTACTGTGACAATAAACTCGATGTGTCTTGAATTGTGTGACCGCTAGTCTGCCTAGGCCTAAAGTACAATTTTACCTAGAAAACGAGTTTTTTTTTTGTGTCCTGGACGTTTTTGGTATTTTTAATAATATTTGTTTATTTATTTATGCATTATTAATTTCATAATCCATCCTTGGTACTTCAGGCCCTGTGAATGTGGGTTTCATCAAGGTGCATCGTTTTTCTATTTTCGCGTAAATGACAAAACATTTAATTATAAGCTAAAGTCAACTAAATAGGTTTTTCAGCCATCTTCCTCATATTTCGCTGCATTTACAAATGTCAGTGTCTGTGTTTTGTTTAGGAAGATTTAATGACTCTTTGGGGCAAATCTTTGGACTTCCATGCGCCCAACATAAAAATATTATAATTTCTTCATCTGAAGAGGGAAAAAGTGAGGCAAAAACACAATATTTACTTTGAATATCTTTTAACTCAGTTTTAAACCAATATTCTCTCGCTTACCTATACTGTTTGGGTGCCGCGTCGAGCCTGGGGCAGTCCCGGTTTGGAGACCGTGCAGAACCGGACTATCGAAGGGAGACGCCGGCCACGTTCCGCCCACGTTGGGGCTCATGTAGGCTGAATACGGGCTGTGATAGGAGCCGCTGAGGCCCCGGGGACCGTAGTGCTCCCTCCCGTTGGTGGAGATATTCAGCGGACTGCTGTAAGACTCCTGTGCAGTGGCCACCCCGGAGGTCAGAGGCGGACTGGTGGAGAAGGTGAAGCGCGGAGACACTGGGGAGTGGTTGTAAGAGGGCACCGAGTCTGCGCCCGGCTGCACCCATGCGGAGTGGCCGGAAACGGGGCTGCCTTGCTGCGACGAGCCGGGCGTCTGGATGTAGGGCAGCGCACGGATCATGGGGGTCACGACCCGGGTGGTGGGCACGTACACCGGGGAGGTGGCGGCCGAGGCGTTGTGTAGAAATCCGGCCTCATAAGAAGAGGCTCCGTGGTTGGTCATTATGCCCTGGTACATATCCTCACCCTGGAGCTGCACATCCGCGCTGATACCAGGCGATAAAGGTGCTGCTAATCTCCAGAATGTATCTGCAGCTCTCCCGTCCCCGTTAAGATCTGATCTGCTGTCAAGTGGAGCGGAGAGGTGAAATATTCAGAAAATTAAAAACGGCCAAACGCGCAAAGAGGAGAGGTTCAGAGGAGGAGTGAGAGACTAGT